ACGGTCCGCCCTCTGTATTTCAGATATCTTCATGTCATAAAGTGAAATTTTTAGACAGGGTTTATTTTCGTAACTTGAAAACTAGAGAAAGGAACAGGGCGGACCTTAAAACACAGTTATCAGAAAAGGTCCGCCCTCTGTATTTCATATATCTATACATGTATGTCATAAAGGGACTTTTTGGACAGGGTTTATTTTTGTAGCTTAAAAAACTAGAAAAAGAGACAGGGCGGACCTTTAAACGTAGTTACCAGGAAAGTCAGCCCTCTATATTTCAGATATACGAGGGCCGTTCAAAAATTACGCGGACTTGTGTCAAAGAAAAAATATTTGACGACATAATCGGGCAAAATGTCACACATAATATAAAAGAATCTTTACTGATATGGTCTTCAAAATTTTATGATCAAAATGTTATAAATTGGTATCGATTTTTAGTGATTTATCAGGACATATCATTAAGTCACGGAGCAGCAAAATCTTCGACGTCACAGGCATTATAAAAAAATGTGTGATTGAGCTTTCATTTTCTCAACATTTTCCCAAGAGTACCTGTACAGTTTTAGTAATACCTTATCTACTCAACATCCAAACACCTTTTCATGTCAAGCTTAAAATCTATTAAACAAGTAAAGAATATTTTGTTTTTGTTTTAAAACCAAAATATGCAGGTATTTATGAGATATAGTATGATATTGGTGACTCTCATTCACGTTCTTTACAGTCCAGATAATGTTTTCGTCGATAATCATCTTCCCGTCCTCCCGTATAGCCTCTTCACAGAGGTCTAACGGTCTAAAATTTCATTTTGATATTTGTGGACGAACGTCACGAATACCCTAGTTTACTACATGTTTAATTATGCATATTTTGGATCTATGTTGGCGATATCTGAAGCATCACACGCAATTTTACAAAAGTGTGGTGCGCCGTCAATTCAGGAGACGTCTTTTTCAAAGTCGTTTTCACGGGAATCGCATCGGAAAAAAATCACTATATTTCTGTTAGTACTTCAAATATCATGTCAGAAATCAACATACATAATAATAGAACAATTTAAAGAAACATTTGAAAAAATTGTCGAAAAATATCGCGAATTATCGAAAAATAATAAGTTAAATTTTCGATTCTGCATGCTTTTGCTTCAAATTTTTTGTCGTGCTCCGTACCTCTTCATCGGCGATATCAACATAGCGATAATTTTCGTAGAACTTTTTTAAAATACATAAATTTTGCCCAAAATTTATTGGAATCTTTAAGATACATATTTCTGTGAAATTTCATAACTATATGACGTCTGTAAGAGTAAATAATAACACAGTCCGCGTAATTTTTGAACGGCCCTCGTATTAATGTCATAAAGAGAAATTTTTGGACAGGGTTTATTTTCGTAGCTTGAAAACTAGAAAAATAGACAGGGCGGACCTTAAAACGCAGTTATCAGAAAGGGTCCGCCCTCTGTATTTTAGATATTTTAATGTTATAAAGGGAAATTTTTGGGCAGGGTTTATTTTCGTAGTTGAAAACTAGAAAAACAGACAGGGCGGACCTTAATGCGCAGTTATCAGAAAAGGTCCGCCCTCTGCATTTCAGATATTTTTATGTTAAAAAGGGAAATTTTTGGACAGGGTTTATTTTCGTAGCTTAAAAAACTAGGGAAAGAGACAGGGCGGACCTTAAAATGCAGTTATCAGGAAAGGTCCGCCCTCTGCATTTCAGATATTTTTATGCTATAAAGGGAAATTTTTGGACAGGGTTTATTTTCGTAGCTTAAAAAACTAGGGAAAGAGACAGGGCGGACCTTAAAACGCAGTTATCGGAAAAGGTCCGCCCTCTGTATTTTAAATATTTTTATGTTAGAAGGGAAAAATTTTTGGACAGGGTTTATTATCGTAACTTGAAAACTAGACATAAGAACTTTTTTAGTGTGCAGTGTTTAGAATTTCCTTAATTAATATTTTAAGTACCAGCCTAATAGTGTGCAAATTTCCTACTTTCACACAAGCTTTTTAAATGTATTTATATACGTCTTTTGCCATTCACATAAGTTTGTACAAAGTTAAGCTCATAGTAAACAAAAACTTTGAAATGAATGACCGTTCTCGATTTACTGTTGTTTTGAACATATTTTATTGACAAGCAAAAGGATAAGAAACAAGTTCTAACAACTTACTAGTTCTTCTCCTTACTGTTAAGGTAGGTCCGTACTTTCAAAATTTTCTGTCAAACTGATCATTTTTTAACTTGAATACCTTGAATAACTCATGAACTAACTAAAACACCCATAAAAGACATATCTTTGCAGGTTAATTTTAGTACAACATGTCTCAGAGTACACACCTCTAAAAATTCATCAGCCAAAATTAAACATAAAGAAGTGTGATAGCATATTTTACTTAGCTATGCACCAAATCACATTAAATTTATATTAAAACTTGTGGAAACAAAAAATATTCATTTGCCAGGAGAATATTTGAAATTTTTCCTGGAAAGCATTAACAAATTTATGTTGAATCTGCCCACGTCTTTAAGAATAAAATCTCAAAATATCTTCATTTTTAATAACTCTCAAAATCTTAACTGTTTACATGCCATTTTTTCTTTAAAAGTAGTAATAATTATATATAAGGTTAACAAAAACACAAACTTTATTATGATTGACCAGAAAAATTCAACAAAACAGCCCTTTCAACACGTATACCACCATTTTTGGAATATCAAGTTTTTCAATCACTTTTTACAAAATTTTAAACGAAAGTAAAATTTAAAAAGATGATATAGGCCTAAAATCTATAAAAATAGATCTCAAGTTAGTTTGTTTAAAAAAAAAAGAAAGGTGTAGGTTCATAAACGCAATTAAGAATGTTGTGTCTGTGTATGTGCTAAAAGCATATAAATCCTATGGACAGAGTGTAAAGTGTTAATTTCCATAAATATTAATAGTATATATTAAACGCATATATAATCAAATTGACACTATAATTAATAAATATATACTTATTAAATTATTTTCAAGCACCCAAAATATTTTATTTCAATAAAAAAGTGATGATCAGAATGTTATATTGGTGTGTAAAATTAAAACCGGATCCGTAAAAGTATGGACCTTCCTTAATAGAAGATCACAAAAGTCGGCTGACCCCGAAAGAAAGAAAGAATGTCGAAAATGAAATTAAAATTGTCGGATTCCGAATAATAACAAAAATTGTCGGCAATGTTAAATTCAGGAAATGAAATGCAGAGATATAGTAGATATAATAATTGGCCTTTGAATAGGTAAGAAACAGTGCTAACTTATAAAAAAAAAAAACACAGGGGATATGGTACTTCAGGTTTTCTCAAACGAAACAATTATAGGCTAACCCCCAACTGCCCAATCCGTAGGCATGTTGTTTTTACAATAAGGGGTGTAGGGTAGTACACCGTGACATAAGCCCCTGTCACAGCTAGTGACCCTTCAGTTATTTACAACGATATTAAGCGTAAAGAATGACAAATTTCTTTTATCAATACTGTAAAGAAATATATTTTGAAAGATGTGAACTTTAGTTTTTGTGAGTGGATTAGTCAAACGTTTATCATGTTTATAGGAAAGAGAGTGTAACTAAATGATTCGTATTGGACTTACGAACATCTATAATCTGTTCATTCAATACTGATTAATCTGCCAGTAAACAAGGCGGTGAAGGTAAATGTATGTACATTTGTATTCTTAACATTTTTTTAATGATAATGTTGACATTAGTGTATTAATTTAAACGACAAAAGAAGCATGTCCCATCTTCCCGACAGGAAACCCGATCAATAAATCTATTAATACACATTCCTTTATTTATGTATTAATTTCGATTTCTTACTTATTGTTTACTACACTTTCTTGGAGAAAACACTAGCTATGAATATGACTTTATATCCTTAATTAATTTTAAAAGAATAGTTTTTCAATTAATATCGAATGAACCACATGCATACAATTTGTATAAAAGGCCGAGGGCGGACCTTTTCTTATAGAGCCAGGCGGACCAAATATGTTATCGTATTTGGTCCGGCCGGACCTTTAAACGAGGCGGACCAAATATTATGCGACACCGGTCAACAGACGCAACATACATACCGGTATGCACATACATTAGAACATATATACCCTCTGATAATTTTTCAAGATAATCTGAATTTAAAATCATAGTACCAAGCTTGTGCACAAAAAATAAGCATATATTACCAAGTGTTTTGAAGAGTTATCATTTAAAAAAAATTCTTGTGTTTTTCAAAGAAAAAAAATTTAAAAATGAAGTTGTATGCGATATTTCTTTACAAGAAGAGGTTTACAGCATCATTAGAAATAAATTATATTAACAAAAATACATCAATTATTGAAATTATCAAGTAATAGAGAAAATATAAGCAAATGAAGCTCAAAACTACGCTGCGTGTGTCCGTAAGGTCCCCTGGTTTCCCTTTACCCCTACGATTTTCCTTAACCCCCCCCCCCCCCCCTCGTCTTCATCACCCCAAACCCCAAGAATCATGACCAGAATGGAAGTTGTCTTGGTTAGGGAGACAAGGTATATATAGCTCAATAAGCAAAGTCTGCATCACATGTATATATTTACATCCACTGAATATTTTCTTCTTTATTTCTTAAGAAAACCCATTGCGTTCATCCCTGCATAAACTACATTAGGCATATCACCTGTACAGATTTCTTGATCAGTGGCCGTTCCATCAATGAAACGTACAAAGACGTTCGCATCATTAACACAATAATTAATATTTTTAATCCTACTTAAAATGATAATTTAAACAGATATAAATATAAACAATAAAATTGTTCCAGTAACAACAAACAAAGAAAGCATTTGATTGTTTAAATAAATATTAAAATTAAAATATTATGAACGACACATAATCAAAACAACAAACACGATACATATGTATTAAATGTTCATCGCAACTTCTATCACAGTAATAGTTTTTTACAATTTCAATTCGAAGCAAGTTCAACTAGGATACCTAATTTCCCTCACTTCCACAAAGACGTTCGATTCTTGAAGTGGTAAAGAAATTACCCTTATTTCAAGTTTTGGCATATCCGATGGGAAAACCCTGCGAGAATTTCTCTTCAAGATTTTTGCTATAATGTCTAGTAGGGAAGATTTAATTTGATTGTTCAGTATGGAGTAGATCATTGGGTTGATTACAGCATTAGACCATCCAAGATAGATCACAAAGCCGTGGACCGCTAGGCTCACCTTGTCCATGTTAGGGTCTGCAATAGATAGCACAATAAAAGGGAGATTCATGCAAGAGAACAACAGAATGGTTACCAAAATAGTTCGCACCAATTGTCTTTCGTTCCTTAACCTGCGAGCCTGTGCTCTTTGTAAAGTACGCACTCGTCGAAAAGTCGAGTTGACTTTTTTGAGAATTTCGATGTAGCAGAATAAAATAGACGGGACTGTTAGAAGCAATGTAATGATGAATGCAAATTCTCGGAAGCCGTCAATGGAATGTACGGGATGACATATAAATCTAAATCTGTCGTATGAAAACTTTCCCCAGATCCCCGTCAGTGGAAACAGGAACAGAACAGGATAGAATGTCCAGACGACAGCCAGCATTATCCTCATGTTCCTAGCAGTGTAAATTTTTCGATACAGCGTGAACCTCACAATTAAGAAGTATCGGTTCAGTGAGATGAGTACTATGTTGAGAACAGCTGTTCCTAGTATACTGTAGATAACGTACCCGTAGAACGCGCAGGCTCCATTGTTTTCCAAATTTACTGAAAACGAGTATGAGGAAATTATAGGTAAACACACTGAACACATTAACAGGTTACTGACAAACAAGTTCAGCACGAATTTGAATGGACTTTGTCTGTGAAGCCTTCCCTTGATCAACACAAATATAGCCAGTAGATTTAGAATCGTCCCCACTATTGCAATGAACGTCGACAAAGTCTGGTGCAGGGTTCGATTCCAGGTGAAATCCGTTATCACCTGATGGACGTGTTCGACTACACTGTTATTGGTCCTCATTATCACACGATGTGTCTGGTAGCTCTTACTCTTTATTTACTGAATTACAGAAAACCTCAACTCAGTAATAAACACTGGTAGTGATTCCTTGTCTTCATTTTTGATGATGATATTTGTCGACTTTGTGTCCCCAGTGAGATGTTTTAATCACCATCGTATAATTTAGTATCGATCTGTACCCGAATTCATAAGGCTATAGAAAAAAAGGTGATAAAACGGATACTGTTTTAAGATCCTTTAATAAATTTTATGATATGAATCCATTACAGCCTATACATTAATTGCTTTCATGTACAGACCTTATTTAATCTGACAAATAGAAGGTATATCCGATGTTCTGTCTTGTCTTGGGTGACGAGACAAATGAAACAAAATATACTGCATGCATCTTTTCACATATCTCAATTTTTAAAATCCAGTGTCTTCATTATATAGATGTGACATATCTATATAATAAAGACACTGAATTTGTGCCTTTGTGTGTGCGTGGGGGTGGGTGGCAAAACTACGTTAATCGATGTTCATGCAAGCAGTGAGTTTACATTGACATTAAAATCACTGCATAGCACTTTCAAGGAAATGTTTTTGTTAAAGCAATTTAAAATCTAATCATTTCTTTTGAAATTGCTGATTTAGCAAATAAAACATAATTAACAAAAGGCCAAGGGGCCAAATCGCTCACCTAGAGAAAAAGCAAATATCTGTTTAGTATTGAAAAGCTTAAATACATGAATATGCCCAGGGATGCTTTTTGCCAAGTTTGATTGAAATTGGCCAAGTACTTCTGGAGAAGAAGCTGAAATTCGAAAAAAAAAAGTTTATAACTACGGCGATGATGACGACGGACAACGGACAGATTTCGATCAGAAAAGGTCACTTAGTCCTCAGGTGAGCTAAAAAGTCATCAACAAATTACATTACACATGTACATTGCAGATTCAGCCATGTTCAAAAAACGTGATCCGGAAAGTACCAACTATTAAGTAATTAAAAACGTGAATCTGGTATCCCCAGGAAATGCACTGGGCATTGTAAATTTACAGATGAGTTAATGTTCAATGGCCCTCTGGTAAGAGAGACAACTCTCATATGAATAAATGGCTTTTATTCCAGTATAAAATTGTCAATTTGTAAAAGGTCTGTCAATTTTTGCATTAATTTTAATTATAAATCAGATTTCTCTGGAAACAACATTGGGTTTAAAGACATATTTTTAAACGCGTGAAAATGAGAATGCTGAACCTTACAAATAATTGAATTAATCTATGGCACGCCAAATTCACAAAAATGAGCTAAACATAGTTTCACAGTTGATAAACTAGGTTTATCGACTGTAAACTATAGTTTACAAACCGTGAACTATTATGGCACGCCAAATTCACAAAAATGAGCTAAACCTAGTTTCAAATTGATAAACTAGGTTTATCGACTGTAAACTATAGTTTACAAACCGTAAACTATAGTTAACAATTCGTTAAGAATAGTTTTCATTTGTAAAACTTATGGCACGCCAAATTCACAAAAATGAGATAAACCTAGTTTCACAATTGATAAACTAGGTTTATCGACTGTAAACTATAGTTTACAAACCATAAACTATAGTTACCTATTCGTTGACAATAGCTTTCATCTGTAAAGCTATATATAACGGTTGTTAACTATAGTTTACGGATGCTTTTCTAAGTTTATATGTCTGTAATAAAATGTTGACAATAGATTTTGTTGATAAACATACTAGTAGATTCACGTCTGTAAACTATAATTTACAATCGTGAAGTATAGTTAAGAGTTGTTAATCATAGTTTCAAATCGTGAAACTATATTTATCAGATCGTTAACTATAGTTAACGGTTTGTAAACTATAGTTTACAAATCGTGAAACTGTATTCATCAGATAATCTATGTTTTGCAATCGCTAATGATTGTTTTCAGTGTTAAGTATAGTTTACGGTTGTGAAGCATATATTATCGCGTTAACTATGGTTTACGGATGTAAAATATAGATTAACGTTGTTAACTATAGTTTACAGTCCGTAAATTATAGTTTACAACCGATAAACCTAGTTTATCGACTGTGAAACTATGTTTTGCTCATTTTTGTGAATTTGGCGTGCCATAGTAAACTATAATTTACGGTCGTTAACTATAGTTAAGAGTTGTAAACCATAGTTTACAACTCGTAAAACTGTATTTATCAGATAATCTATGTTTTGCGATCGCAAATGATTGTTTTTGGTGTTAAGTATAGTTAACGGTTGTGAAACATAGATTATCGCGTTAACTATGGTTTACGGATGTAAAATATAGATTAACGTTGTTAACTATAGTTAACAGTCCGTAAACTATAGTTTACAACCGATAAACCTAGTTAATCGACTGTGGAACTATGATTAGCTCATTTTTGTGATTTTGGCGTGCTAAACCTAGTTTCACAATTGATAAACTAGGTTTATCGACTGTAAACTATAGTTTACAAACCGTGAACTATATTTTACAATTCGTTAATTATAGTTTTCATCTGTAAAACTATATTTAACGTTTGTTAACTATAGTTTACGAATGCTAATCTAAGTTTATCTGTCTGTAATAAAACGCTAACAATAGATTTTGTTGATAAACATAGATTCACGTCTGTAAACTATAATTTACGATCGTTAACTATAGTTAAGAGTTGTAAACCATAGTTTACAACTCGTGAAACTGTATTTATCAGATAATCTATATTTTGCGATCGCAAATGATTGTTTTTGGTGTTAAGTATAGTTTACGGTTGTGAAACATAGATTATCGCGTTAACTATGATTTACAGATGTAAAATATTGATTAACGTTGTTAACTATAGTTTACAGTCCGTAAACTATAGTTTACAACCGATAAACCTAGTTTATCGACTGTTAAACTATGTTTTGCTCATTTTTGTGAATTTGGCGTGCCATAAAATAGTTTTCATTTGTAAAACTATATTTAACGGTTGTTAACTATAGTTTACGAAAGCTAGTCTAAGTTTATCTGTCTGTAATAAAACATTAACAATAGATTTTGTTGATAAACATAGATTCATGTCTGTAAACTATAATTTACAATCGTAAACTATACTGTAGATCACAAAATTTTCGCGACACCTTATTTTCGCGAGATAGTCATTCACTGTTAATTAGCGAGACAAAATTTTCACGAATTGTGGTTATTGTTCTATATACTGTTAAGGAATGCAATTATACTCGAAAATTAAATTTTCGCGAGCACACTGTCTCGCGTAATTACGCGAAAATAAAAAGTTCTCGAGAATAATAAGTGATTTACAGTAGTAGTTTAAGAGTTGTTAATCAGATTTTCACAAATCGTGAAACTATATTTATCAGATCGTTAACTATAGTTAAGAGTTGTAAACCCTAGTTTACAAGTCGTGAAACTGTATTTATCAGATAATCTATGTTTTGCAATCGCAAATGTATGGTACGCCAAATTCTCAAAAATGAGCTAAACATAGTTTCACAGTCGATAAAGTAGGTTTATCGGTTGTAAACTATAGTTTACGGACTGTAAACTATAGGTAACAACGTTAATTTATATTTTACATCTGTAAATCATAGTTAACGCGATAATCTATGTTTCAGAACCGTAAACTATACTTAACACTGAAAACAATCATGTACGATTGCAAAACATAGATTATCTGATAAATACAGTTTCACGATTTGTAAACTAGGGTTTACAACTCTAAACTATAGTTAACAATCTGATAAATACAGTTTCACGATTTGTGAAACTATGATTAACAACTCTTAACTATAGTTCACAATTGTAAATTATAGTTTACAAATGTGAATCTATGTTTATCAACCAAATCTATTGTTAACGTTTTATTACAGACAGATATACAGATAAACTTAGATTAGCATTCGTAAACTATAGTTAACAAACGTTGAATATTAAAACACAGATGAAAACTATAGTTAACGATTTGTTAATTATAGTTCACGGTTTGTAAACTATAGTTTACACTAGATAAACCTAGTTTATCAACTATGGAACTATGTTTAGCTCAGCTGTGAAACTATGTTTAGCTCATTTTTGCGAATTTGGCGTGCCATATTAATCAGTTTTAAGTGACAAAATTCTTTTTAGGTTATATATATAATGCTTTGTGGCTTCACATTTTTTTTTAACGATATGAGGTTTTAAAATTTATATTTCAGAAGACGGTACAGAGAAGAAGAGGAGAAGAAAGAAATGTAAGTTAGAGATGAAGTAGATAAATTACTAACGATGAATTTAATTAATCATTCGGGAAGATTTTTTTAACGAAGGGATTTTTTTTTATTAAACTAAGATTTTCTTTCAATATGCAAAAAATAAAGTAGCCTTATTATTATCTTTTTTTTTTAAATGCCCTTCTCTATTTATCCTCAATATGAGATCATAAAAAAATTAGATCTATATAGTTTGCGTACGAGCTGTTTAATACCGGCGAATTTCTCCATGTAAACCTAGAAGAGTTCCGAAGGAAGTCATATGTAGGTGAAGGTCAAATATGGGTGACGGTGATTCTGCAGCACCGCCGCGACTTCAACATTTGTTTGAGATTGATCCGTACCTCAAAAACGTAGAAGCAGAGATCAAACGAAGGTATTTATGTGAAATTCTTAAATTTAGTTGGTGCATGTTCTCTAAGCATAACTGTCATTGGCTAGACAAGAGCACACAGCATGTCAGTCAGAGCCCGTGCTACGAGCATGATCGCCTGATCTCGCATGCCGGTGTGTGTGCTTTCATTTTACAGATTTATAAGTTTAACCGTAGGTTTAATTGGCAAAATATACAAGTTTTTAATTAGTTGATGATAGAATTGTCGTAATAAATTACACAGGACCTGTGCCATCATATTAAAAATCTGCAATATATGAGCATGATGAATTAGAATGAGAATGTCCTTAAGTTTGGTTCACAGGTGCTTGAGGACAGGAACCCCCCCCCCCCCCCCTTCGATATAGACCCCTGGGCTTTTTCGATTTTTTTCTTATAAAAAATCTTTCATTGCCATATTTGTGATAAGATCTATACCAGCAAATCGAAAAATTACCTAAAACAAACGTTCTATTAAATCTACCCTACATTCTCTATATAAAAATCAACAAGGTTGCCAACTCCGTAAAAAGCTTAATGAACGGAAGTAATGAGGAGAGGACTAATTCCCGATGTTCCCCATATACCCAAATATGCGTGTAATTTTATTTTCAAACGTTTTGTAGATTTACACAAATATTTAAGGAAAAGAAGATATTTTGATAAATTGCATTTTTAAAAGGGCATAACTCTCACATGCAAATCAGGTATTTGAATAATAATTAGAGACATTTCATTTGCAAAGCGGGTTAGAACTCTATTCTCCCAATACATTTGAAAGACATTTTTTAAAGTGTATATCAACCAAATTTCTTCAAATGTTTACTTCAAAACAGTGTCTTTCGTCTCCTCGTCACTTCCGTTCACTAAGCAAAAACGCTAACTGTAGCCTGACCTCCTTTCGAAAACTTGGTCATAACGACTGTTAAAGTGCCTTAACCTTCATGAGAGTTGGTGGTTAATGAAAAGAATATTCAATCTACAATATGAGTTTTTGATTTTAGGGCTTTGTTTAGATTTATGAGACGATTCAACCAAAATTCTCGGCAGTGCCTCTCGGTTTGCAGACGAAGTTGGCAACCTTGTTAATCTATATATAGAGAGGGTAGATATTTTTATAAAATGTAAGCTTAAGCAAATTTTCAGAATTGATAGGATAGATTATATCACAAATATGTCATCCATATATAATTTATGTGAAAAAAGTCTAAAAGGCCCGGGGGTCTGTATTGAGGGGGGGGGGGGGGTCCTGTCCTCAAGCACCTGTGGTTTGGTTATCATAAGCCCAATGGACAGATCATTCGGTATGCATGTTGATCTCTTGTGTGAATGGTGTGATTTTTTACTGTGCATGATGTTGCAGTTAGGATTTGAGGATTTTAATTATCTGCCAACTACACTGCTGCCTCAGGTTAATACATGTTTTTATGAGTCTGACTGTGAAGGGGTGGGGTAGGATGGAGTGGATTGATGTAATAATATGTTGAGAAATTATCAGGTAGACCCATGAAAGTAAATTGCATGATATTTTACGCAGAACAATTGTAACAGTTTATAAATACGTCCCTGTGCTGCTTTAAGTTCCTGGTTTATGTTACAACTTTAACAAAGTACTTCTAGTATTAAAATAGTGTTGAAATATGCTCAGACATTCTTAGGACAAAGTATATTTATACACAATTTTTATGTTTTAATGAAACTACACTTGTAGATCATCATCATGAAACTTGTCAATTAGAATTATTTAAAACACTTAAAGGTCTGTTAATTATTATCAGTAAAGTAGCAGATTGAGAACTGGCAAATATCATTATTAAAAGACAGACATCTTCGCTAGCCAAGGGTTTCTGATACGCTAATCTCCTCATGAACCCTTGGCATACGGTGAAGTCAAAAGATGGGATTGTTTTCGTCACATGATCTCGAATCTATCGGGTACACACCGATTGCGTCATCGACAGAAAGAAAGTCGCGTGTTTAAAAAAATTAAATCAAAGTTTTTTTCAAGAACAATTAAGAAGCAATAATTGAGTTATGTTTATTTATTATTTGTAGTAAAAATCGGAAACTTCAGTATAGATTCTTAATCACATATTCAGAAGATATTGGATGACACCATAGCTATCTTACGGATCGTTGATTACTTGTGTTTTTCATTTCCGAGATTAAAGAGTCAAGAAGTATCCCGAACGCAAATATCGTCATTTACAAAAAACAATTGCTGATTGGTCGACCGGGTGTACCGAATCCAAATCAGAACTTGAGAAAAAAAACCAACTTCTATCAACACCGTATGCCAAGGGTTCATGAGGAGAGTAGCGTATCTGAAACCCTTGGCTAGCGAAGATGAAAGACAGACAAAACAATACAGTAAAACTTGATCAGTATGAACACAGACATTGGGAATTCACGGATATATCAAAGTTATCTTGGATCCCCAGCTATATAAGTTTAATAAAATATAGTGAATACATGGTGAAATAATTTCATAGGTCCCAGTGACTTCATTATAACTGAGTTTACTGTAGACTACATGGAATGAATAATTCTTTTTAAAAAACATTAAAATGCATCAAAATTGATTTGATTTAAAATATTAATTAATTTTGACAGTTAAAATTTTGTAGATATGGAGTTTTCCTAGGTTTGCAGAAGTCCATTGAACAAAATGAAGGAGGATATGAGAGATTTAGCCGAGGTTATGAATCTTTTGGCATACATCGGACGCCGGATAATGGCATCTACATGAAGGAATGGGCACCTGGAGCAGAGGGGGTCTTCTTAAGAGGCGAATTTAGTGAGTGTCTCTCTTACAGAATAAAATTTAAAAGAAGTTTTCTGCTTCAATACAACTCTAAAACCATAGGATTTGAATTTTAGATGGTTGGAATCAGACACAGCATTCCTTTACAAAAGGAGAATTTGGAAAATGGGAACTTAAAATCCCACCTAACCCAGACGGGTCTTGTCCAATACCTCACAACAGTAAGATTAAGGTATAGTGGCACCTCCATTTATACAGTTACATATAGGTATTTGTTTCTTCTAAATACCCTTGAAGTCCTTGTTTCCTGATTATTTATCTTTAGAAATGGCCATTCTTGGAGGCAATTATATTAATGGAACACATCTTGATTATTTCAGTTAGTGATCAAAACCAGATCGGGAGAGCTGGTGGACCGGTTATGTCCCTGGGCTACCTACGTCACCCAGCCTGACCCGACCAAGGCTTATGACCAGGTGTTCTGGGATCCTCCACAGGTAAACACCTGTAAAACAGCTGATATTGTAACTTCATTTTTTCCCCTAGTATTTCATTTGATTTTCTTCAGGTTTGAATAAACACAAAACAGCAAAACTTTTTCTTCTGGTTACGTGTTTGGTTTTAAAAAAGCCTTGAGAAAATTTTTTTTGTATTATATAAATCATGTATTTCACTTTGGAAATATTCTGAATGAAATTCACTAGGGATGTCAAAATATTTATTTTCTTTAGTCGAACATTCGATTGCATTATTCGAACGATAGTCGACTATTCGGAACATTTTCTTTAAAATCTCATCGATAGCTTATTTATGTAACCCTAAAACCCTTTTCTTTTGTAAAATGTAACATCAAATGCCTATATTACACACCAATATTCAGAGGAACCTGTTTTTTTTAAACTATGTTTTTAAAGCTTTTTAAAATAAATTGGAAGAAAGGGAGGGACAAACACACACTGTATCCACACGTCAGGTGATATTGTGGTTAAATACTGCTTGCTCAATTACAGTTCCTAGAATTTGAACATTCTTACAGGTAATAAATAAATTTATAATTGCTATAAGCCCAATTAATAGTTTTCAAAGTCCAGTATAACGCTACATAATTTACCACAATAACATAAAAAGGTCTGTAATTGAGAAATAATTATCGCGGTATGAAATTACGGGACTTTCCTTGTGTACAATGTGTGAATGTGTTTGAGTTTTTATTCGTCTGAGGACGTATACGTTAATGGTTTGAGGAATTACGCTTTTCTAAATTTTGAGATGAGAGGTTCTTTATCAACTCCTTTTCTTGCATTTATTTAATATTCGAATGTCATTATTCGATCATCCATTCAACTGATAGTCGAATAGTCGACTATTCATTGACATCCCTAAAATTCACAGGTAAAAATAGTGCTTGGCAAGTACTATTTTTGTACTAATTGTGTTTGTTCAAAAGTGAAAGAAAGATTTAAAAAAAAAAAATTATTCAATTGCAGTAATATGAATAAACTGCATACAAGATACATCTTTCATATTTTAAATTTGTATTGTTTTTAATTTTTTCCAGAAATATAACTTTCAACATCCACATCCAAAAAAATCAGACAGCCTGAGGATTTATGAGTCACATGTTGGCATTGCATCCTGGGAAGGAAAAATTGCCACTTACAAAGAGTTCGCACAGAATGTTATACCACGTATCAAGAATTTAGGTTAGCTTCATAGGAATTAATTCATAATTAATTTTAAAAATAGAATTGTTTTTAAAACCTTTAGGAATTAACCTTCGTAGACATTCCAGCTAAATAAACATTCATGTGGGTCAATTGATACATGCTGGAAGCTTATCAGCTTAGGTTAAAGAGTAGTTTCATGGTTGGTGGGAAAAGAATTTCAGAGCTGTGGAAAACTGCCGGTCATGCCAGCAAGACCGGCAAAAAATGCCTGTGACCGGTAAAAATGCTATCGATGTCGGTCCAAATGACCGACCTCTTTCTTTGATAAAGGTTTTTGTTTTTCCATTTCGATTTAGGCCTATCATCGGCACACTTCCTAGCTTAATTATCGTACCTTATATACGATTACGGAATACTTTTTCTTTGCACGAGATCGAGGCTATAGAAAATGAAAGCGAAACCAGCATTGTCTCGCGTGACCTTATTAATTTACAAATGGGACAGAATTAGGTGGAAAACATAAAAAAAAGATAAAGACAGGCTAAATATGTAAAACATAACGACAGAAAATATTCAAACACAGTTGAGTAAAACGGTAAACCCAGTATGGCCGTCGTTTCGACTGTTCCAGATTTCTTTTTTTTTTTATCGATCATGTTCATGATGTTGGTATCTTTATTATCCATGCTCAGAATTTCTTAGACTCATTTTTGAGGTAAAATATAATTTCCAAATGTATTAATGTTTTAAAAAAATTACGTTTACGGTATTATGCAGAATTATCATTGTCATTTGCCAAAAGTGATGAAATCTAGTATTGTTATAAATGCAAAAAACAAAAACGGAAGAGGACTTGGAAATGGAGACTAATTATTATCATTAAGTAAAGTGTAATTAAGAAAATACATGTTATTTTCTTTTTAATTTTGCAACCTACTATTTCGGTCCGGCAAAAATCACTTCGGACCGACATATTTTGTCTTCTTGCCAGTCCTAATGACTGGCTATCTGAAAAAGTTTTCCACAGCTCTGGAATTTCTGAGAAACTTGGAACCTTTGTGAAATATAGTTCTGTATTTTTTTGTATCTGCTAGGCTACAATGCAATACAGATGATGGCCATCATGGAGCACGCGTATTACGCCAGCTTTGGGTATCAAGTCACCAGCTTCTTTGCTGCTTCTAGGTATGTCAGTATTATGTCAGTTAAAGTGCAAGTCATTCTATTTGTTTTCATATCACAGCCTCATTTTATGTTAAAGTTTAGATGCAATAAATTAGAGGTTCAGTTACATGGTTTGTTTTCTAATTCAGTCGTTATGGTACACCCGAGGAGTTGAAGGAATTGATAGACGTAGCTCACGCTAACGGAATCACAGTTTTACTAGATGTGGTCCACAGTCACGCATCAAAGAATACGGTGGATGGGCTTAACCAGTTTGATGGAACAAATTCCTGTTTCTTCCATGATGGCGGCAGGGGGCAGAATGATTTATGGGGATCCAGACTGTTTAATTATACTGAGTAAGTCAAATATTGTTTTAAAATAGTTGCAAAAGTAGATCTGAGAACTCAGTCAATTGAGTGAAATATTATGTTAAAATAGCTAAAGTAGATCCCAGAATTTGATCTATTGAACAGCAAAGATAATTCAAATTATTGATTCTGGAGCTAATTGAGGTACAGATGATGCTCAGAGAAATATCATAATATATAATATTACCTTTTTACAGGTGGGAAGTTCTACGATTCTTGTTATCTAATCTACGTTGGTGGATTGAGGAGTATAAATTTGACGGCTTTAGATTTGACGGTGTAACTTCTATGCTGTACCATACTCATGGAATAGGTAGATTCTTTAGGCCTAGCATCTGTATCAATCATCATTACTGGTGCCATATAATATATTAAACCCCTCAATATCAATGCAAAATATTGAACTCCCCTATTAAATATCAAACATGTCTAGTTCATTAATTATTGTAAAGTGGATGCACAAAGTTTACACCCTGAAATAGAACTGTGTGAAAATACAGTGATGACACATGTATGCTATTAAAGCTTCCTTCTATTCATTTGTAGGTCATGGTTTCAGTGGAGATTATGGGGAATACTTTGGTTTGAACACAGACACAGAATCCTTGGTTTACCTGATGTTATCCAATCAAATGCTGCACTCACTTTACCCAGAATTCATGATAACAATAGCAGAGGTAAATCTAATAATACTTGTACTCTTCTGATAACAATGGGGTGGATAGAATTATGCCCCTTGTACAGCATCAAATGTATATAACCAGGGAACACAGTAATGCAAAAATAGAAACCAAACCCAAACACATATTTCACCAGATGGTCTTCATTTGTAAATGATATTGAAAGTACATGTATAAACTATTTGTGTCCATTATGCCTTTTCTAATGAGTTGATGTGAATATTTTAGGAAGTGTCAGGAATGCCAGCATTATGTCGGCCCATTGATGAGGGAGGTACAGGGTTTGACTACCGCCTAGCCATGGCCATCCCTGATATGTGGATCAAGGTGAGAGAGCTTCATTAAAGCTACCGGTATATTTTAATAACCTTAAGATATATAACCCATTAGGACAGCTCTAGATGTTTCAATTAATGTGCTTACATATGAAAGTTTTTTTTTAGCTTTTAAAAGAGCGCTCAGATGACCAGTGGGAGATGGGAAAGATCTGTCACACTTTAGCCAACAGACGATATGGGGAGAAGTGTATCGCGTACGCAGAGAGTCACGATCAGGCGCTGGTAGGGGACAAAACTCTGGCCTTCTGGTTGATGGATAAAGAGATGTACACCCACATGTCCACCTTATCACCCCCTAGTCTAATTATAGACAGGGGAATTGCCCTACACAAAATGATCAGGCTCATCACCATGGGGTTAGGAGGAGAGGGGTATCTTAACTTTATAGGTAAGCTTAACATAAACAATGTCTAGGGAGATATTATTTGTGTGATTCAACTTTATAGATATGCTTATAATATTAATAGACTGAAGAGATATCATTCATTATTCAAAATCTAAGAATTAAAGAAATGATAGAAGAATGTATAAAGGAGAGATATAAGTGGATATTGTATAAAGTTAATACCTCTGAATGAAAACAAATATTTTTAGGAAATGAGTTTGGTCACCCTGAGTGGCTGGACTTTCCGCGGGCGGGTAACAACTCTAGTTACCACTACTGCCGACGACAGTGGCACCTGGTGGATGACGACATACTGAGGTATAAATATCTCAACAACTTTGACAGGGACATGATGCATCTGGAGATGAAGTACGGCTGGCTTAGTCATCCTCAGGTAAGGTGGAAAGATTGAATGGCAGTTTTCATAAAGAATTAGACCATTCTGTATGTGTTACATTTTGATTTTAAAAGAGACATTTTAATTTCCCTTTATAGAACTACATTTCTCGGAAGCATGAGGGTGATAAGGTGGTTGTGTTTGATAGAGCCGATGTTTTGGTGTTTGTGTTCAACTGGCATCCATCCAACAGTTACACAGACTACAAAATAGGGGTCAATATTCCCGGAAAGTATCCTTCACTTAAAAATGGAATCAATGTAAATTTTTATAAAGATTTAAATAGCAGATTCTTGGGAAAAATTTTTGTAAGTCCATGGAAATTGACATACATTTGGATCATTAATTAATGAGCTGTAAAACTGTGTTAAGAATTAGTCAGTCAAAGTCTGAAACTAAAATGCATGCAGTGGTTTTAACTGTACATGTTTCTTTGCTGATCACAACCAAGATTTATTATAAGTAAGATATTTTTAATGGCTGAAGGTCTTGATTTCACTGACTGAAGTGCTGGCAGATTACTAGTGAAGTACTGTAATCTGAATTTGGTATGAAATTATAATCCTTCATAATGTCAGATACAAAATAGTGCTCGACTCGGATGCTGAGCAGTATGGTGGACACAAACGTTTAGATCACTCTATAGATTACTTCACCAACAATGACCCCTGGGACAACAGACGCTGTTCTATGATGGTAGGTACTTACAGTGATAACCCGGTAAACTTAAACTCGCTGATGGTGAGAAATGTACCTCACAGAATCCATAGGTCTCTAAATAATTTCTCACATTGACTATGTTATTCAGTGCTTATTATACAGGGCTTTCAAAAAGATAAGAAACAGGCAGTACCTTTACAGAAATGGGAGGTCTGTGTAGAAGCAATTTTAAATGTTTTTCTCTAATATTTTGCTGGTATTATTGTTTCAGCTTGGTAGAGCTTCTAGATACAGGCAGATTTTGGAAGACCTGTATTTATTTGTTGTGTTCCAGAGCTTAAAAAAAAATACCTATATCTGAACTGAATATAAATGCTCCTCTTTTTTACAGGTCTACATTCCTTGTCGAACTGCCTTTGTTCTTGCAAAAGTGGATTGACCCTGGCTAATGCTGACATAGTGCTGATTTATTCCTAAGATCTGAAAGCATTGTCCAGTATTCATTACCGCTCTTCCACACAATGTACAATGTAGGAGGATGACAAAGTGTGTGCCATATTGTAGTCTAAATGGTCTATAAAATACAGCATGCAATGTATTTTAAAGGGACATAACAAATACATAATCATATTAAGCTTTAAGCCACACTGTTGTTGAGAAAGCAGTCCCGCAACATAAATATGTCTTCTGCTTCCCGGACTGCTCAGCCCTTCGAGGCCATACCGGTATTCTTTTTTTCTTTTTATTTAAAATTTAATTTGCCTATTTTTTTCATGCTATTGATGCTATCATTGTTGCTACTGCTGACAATAGTTACAAGGTTGTTGTATGTTAATCAAACATAATGGAGTAAAATTGATGACAAATTTACAATGATGTTCTGTCATGATTTAGTAGAGAGTAGCAACCACTCGTCTTGATGAGTTGTCTTGGTCTACAATTTCTAACAGAGTAAAACATGGACATTTTTGATGACAAATAGTGGACTACACAAAAGATAAACCAAGCACTCTGCCTATCAAAAGAGACTAAAAAGCTAACAAGGTTAATTTTATAATTATTTTATTTTTAAAATAATACCTGTGTATTTCATATAAAAGAGAACAATATCACAGGGAAAAGCATAGGGCTTCAGTAACAACTTGCTGTCTTTGATAATAATATTTTGAAGTTTCAGAATACACATGTATTTCTTAAAAAAAGAAAAGATTACAAAAATGTAATCATTTCCAAAGATAGTGCTTAAAAACACTAAAAATAACAGATTTATATATGAGAATAAAACTTAGCACCAATATCATTGTTGGAATTCAATGTTTAAAATAACAATATAACAGCAGATAAAGAAACTTCCATCTAGACCCTTTGACCCACTGACCTCAAAATCAGTATAAGTAATTTAAAACAACGTGTTGCAAAGACTAATGGAACTAGAGGTACTGTGAGCAATAACAAATATGGTTTTAACTGGTGAAAAAGGTTTTCCTGTGGCCGGGAAACGTGTGTTGGAAAAAAGTAATTATTTTCTAAAGATTGTGAAAGTTTCATCAAATTTCATTCAGTGGTATGAGAGGAGTTGCGGATAAGAGATGGGTACTATATTGGAATGTAAAACAAATGTGTATAGACTTGTACGTAATGAATTATTTTCTTTGTCTCAAAAAGTAGTACTATATTGGAATGTAAAACATGGCACATATAAATACATGATATTATATATAGTTATCCAGGTTCAATCAAGGGTGTACGGGGATTTACCGCGGTTTTTATTCCATACACCCTGAGCCAAAGGGTGTATGGAATACAACCCGGGCTAAATTCGTGTACCTGGATAATGAATTTATTTCCTATATTTCTGAATAAATTCTTTGTAAACATAATTCTCTTCAACTGTGTCTCAACTGGCTAATATTTACTACGTACTACAATGCATTGTGATGTCATGTTATTTGCTTTTTATCATGATAGAAAAACTATGCATTGTGACATCACGTCATTTACCCCCGTCTCAAGTCGGATGCACGGAAATTTACACCCGACTTTGTAACCAATCAAAGTTTGTGTTACAAGCTACATAGGAAATAATGTAATACATGTACTGATACAAAGAAATTGTACATGTATTCGGATTGTTCAACTGTAACATTATAGCTAGAGTTAACTATTATGCATTGATCAAATTAAAAAAAAAAAACCAATACAATTATCACAATGAATCAATAAATTAATAACAATTTGAGCAATAAGCTGAAATCTGATTAATGCAGTAAAAATTTGTAAACATTTGATCACAGTCATATAGCTACTAAATTATAATTATCTATATAATATTGTTTATAATACTTGGACCAGATCTCCCACTCTTAGTTTGGCACTGTCTGTCTCTTTCTCGTTTCTGAGATGTATCCCAAATGGAATCTGAAAATATTGATGCACTCTAATACATTGGAAAAGAAAACAATCTCGGCACAACACATTATACTTATTCTTGCATGTTTCCTATATAGTGGGTAAATTTTGTGCAAATCTTTCTTATAGATTGCAAAGAAATAAACTGGCCTAGGATTATCAAACTTTGTCATCTGATGCATTGGGTAGAAGGTGTGTCGCGCACAAAAAGTAGGTCACCTTTAATTAAGAAGTTATAGCCAAATATGGAAAAATCCTTTGGCCCATAACTAGAAAACTATAAGACTTACAATCATCAAACTTGGCCAGTTTATGCATCTTAGGTAAATCAATTTCAAGGTCACTGTGACCTTTAATTTAAGTGAAATTAAAAAAAAAAATGTGTCTTTTTACTATTCATTTACACATCCCAAATAATGTAAGAGTATTGCACTGTCCCTATTAAAAAAGTGTTAAATCAAGAAAATACTTATTTTTTAAGCATATACTTGACAGCAATCTATAACAAATATTATGTATGTTATCTTTCCCATTGTAAACCAAGCACTGGTCAAGAAGAATTTTGATAACAGAAAATTGCATGTCAAATTAGAGAGAAATTAATGGGTTTTGAGTGTGAAATTGGTGTTATCTGTATCCCTTGAGTATTGGGCAAATGGGTAAGCCTGTTTGATTAAAAATAGCTCTTGTTGGCTAGCTTAATTTTAAAATGAATTTGATGAAAAGTAATTAAAACTAATTTGATTCAATGCATAATAGACTAATCTGATATTATGTAATATTATTAATTTAAAAACTAATTTTATGGGATTGGGGTGGAATCAGCATGTCCATATGAATTTTATATTAAAACCTGTTGGACATTAAATCTCAGAGTATTTTATGTTTTCAAAAAAAATTATGGTAAACATTTCTGTTGGTAGTAATGAATAAGGTTAAGATTAATTAATGAGTTCAATGTAGGAAGGCTATCTGATAAAGCAATGTTACCCTTAGGGGATTCTGTTGAACATGTCATTTGATGGCCAGCCTTTTCTTTTCAAAATTAATTTGGTATAGATTAAGTTGTTAAGACTAATTTGATATTGTTTAATATGATGGGCATTTGACAAGGTCTAACACAACCAGCACAGAAATCTATCAGTGATGTAATATTTATTATAATTTATGCCTACATCACAGGGGATGCATAAATATTTTAAGGAATGGAAAAATCATCAAAATATTAGAACCAAGGTTGATGTGATTTTCTTGCACCTAAACTGTTCAAGAAAATTTTAAATTTTTGACAGGCGTATCATGCTGTGGCGCGGCACTTTATCTTTCTTATAGATTGCAAAGAAATAAACTGGCATAAAATTGTCACCAGTTGAATACAGTTCATATTTATACATATACAGTCAAACTTGTCTTAGCGGCCACCGGAAATCAACAGCCACTTGCAGTCAGTGGCCACTTTTAGTTCCCCCCGACAGTTTTTCTTGCATCTTTTAACTGCTTATCTTTATTAAACTATTGTGAAAACTGCAAAAGTAGGACAATGTAAATTAGAAATAAGTGTTTTGGAGTACATGTATTTTCAAAAAGTTGTTTTTGCATCATCGGATACCTAAGGGTAATCTTATCACCAGAGGCCTGTTCAACAGACCACACGCTTGCAAACATTTCTGTTGGAGGAATAAGGAATTTTGGCGAGCACTCACCAATGTTCACTCTGTTAAACAGGCCTATGGTATCCAATGTTGTGTTTCATGCAGAATGTATTGTATAGTCTTACTTTTATAAATACAAGTTTCCTGACAGTCCTTACCTTGCGGCCCCTACACACCATGAGTGTCTTGAGTGGTTACCTTGCAGCCCCTACAAACTACCAGTGTCCTTAGTTCTTACTTTGCCGCTCCTACACACAGTGTCCTTCTTTGCCCCTACAAAAGTTTAAAATAATTCCTTAGTCGACACATATACACCGCCAGTGTTAATTAAAAAGTTATACGACACATCGCCATTCCTTACTTGGGCCCCTATAAGTCGCCAAGTTCCTTTTGCGGCCCCTACACAACGCCAGTGTCCTTAGTCCTCACCTTGCGGCCCCAACACACCGCCAGTGTCCTTACCTTGCTGCCCCTACACACCGCCAGTGTCCTTACCTTGCTGCCCCTACACATCCCAAGTGTCCTTACCTTGCGGCCCCTACACACCGCCAGTGTCCTTACCTTGCGGCCCCTACACATCGCCAGTGTCCTTACCTTGCGGCCCCTACACACCGCCAGTGTCCTTACCTTGCGGCCCCTACACACCACCAGTGTTCTGAGTCCTTACCTTGCGCCCCCTACACATCGCCAATGTCCTGAGTGGTTCCCTACTCCTTTGTCCAGTCTCCTGGTCCAAACAAATCATCTGACATCGTGTACACCCACCCTGTCCCTGAATAAAGAGAACTCCACATCACATCACCGAGTAAAGGTGTGGAAATGTATATTACATGTACTGTCATGTTTGTAATTTATCTAGTGGATCTGTGAACCTATGCTGCCTTATTTGTATCAATACGTGCTATATTTATACGTACTGTAAATCTGTGCTGCCCTATTTGTATCAATACGTGCTATATTTATACGTACTGTAAATCTGTGCTGCCCTATTTGTATTAATATGTGCTATATTTATACATACTGTAAATCTATGTTGCCCTATTTGTAGTCTACTCCAATCATCTTCTTGATAACTTGATCCTCCATCCACAATTAAATTAGCTCGGAAACGTAAAACTAGATCTTCAAGATCTGCCAAAAACAAACCATTGTTGATACCATTATCAGCAAGCAAATCATATCAAAACATAAAAAATATATAATTAGTTTAATCATAATGGCTCATATTTACATTTCCAAGTATCTGACCTTTTACAGACACAAAATTAAAAAAAAATGTAATTGATTTCCTCATGAATGTTTGTTTTAAAAAAAACCACGTGCAGGGCCTACACACCTGAGGAAGCAGGCTTGGAGCCTCTCTTTGATTTTGCGGAGGAGGTCAAAGCTGTAAATATAAGGAATAGTAGATACTGGGACTCATTGGTTAAGGACAGACTCTCCTCCTGGCTCAACTCTGTCATTGTGTGAAAAATTAATTCACATCTAAACGCCTGCTGGTGTGTTTATGCAAATTATCACACAAGTGTGTACAAGGTTATTTTTGTTCTGTGCTAGCTTCATCCTACCACACTTGCAAATGGTTTTACTTCATATTAAGCAGGTCGAGGAAACTACCTTATATGGATATTGTTGTTATTGTGCAAGTACAAATTAAGTATGGATAATCTTTTACAGACACAGGCAATCATAAAAAATATATTTTTAATTTTTTTAAAAAATAGATGGATGTTCCATTTTCAACCTTTTTTGTTTTAGAAGACATGTAAAAAATTAAGTTTCAACTATACCTATCTGCTCATTTGTTGGGCCTTCTAAAACAAAAGTGCATTGCTGACTGCTTTTACAGCCTCTCTTGTGATTTTGCTATACAGGAGGTCCTGTACATTGGGTAAATAAATTAAACTGCCAAGTCTACGGGAGCATAAATTACACATTTAAACTTGTCATCACTGGGACTTCATTGGAATTTTAAGGTCCAATAAATTAGATTTTTTGCTCTCCTTTTTGATTCCTTTTTCGGCTCAACTCTGTCATTGAAAAAAAAATTTTGCAACAAAGGTCATAAATGTAAACCGTTAAATGACCATTGAAAGCCTTGTAGCCTGCTGGTGTGTTTGCATAGCAGACTACAAGATCCAATACATAACTGTGTACAAGGTTATTTTTGTTCTGTGCTAGCTTCATCCTATCACACTTGCAAAAGGATTTACTTCATATTAAGTTTGACAAAATACAGATGCATCTCATTTGAAAGGGAAATAACTCTGTCTTCACCACTAACAATAATAGCAAACATGGATCTGCTCTGCAGATGACACAAAAACTCTTCCATATATATGATTGGAATAAGATCATCTTAGAGATGAACTTTAATGAGAAAAGAAGACAAAAAATCACCTGTCTCTTTATCTTTCAGTTTACTAGTTCTTGTGTTATTATTGTTCTGCTGAATAAGCCGACATCCAGGTCTCTGTAAAGCTTTACTGATCCACTCTGATGCATTATCTCCACAATCAGTTCCAAGCACCCTGAAGAGAAAGATTTGAAAATATAAACCTGAGAACAAAATTATTGGAGAGAATCCATCGATGTCCTGATGCAAGTTATCATTACCTGTCATTACAGACTTTACTGGTACAAGACAAAGCCGAGTTAAACTGGGGACCTCCCTTCTCCCTGTGTAGTGGAAGTTTCAGTGGCTCCAAATCTAACAAAAAATGATTTTTTTTTCTTTAAAAACCCTCCAAATTTCTTTAATTAGATTGAAGTTGATTTCAAGTATTTCAATAATTTTTTGTAGAGAACTGTGTAGTGTACATGCAGGAAATTCAGTCAGATGATTAAAGTTTCCTTTGCTTTTAACCAAACAGCTACCTTTATATTGAAGTGTCAGAGTGCCCTGTGACAGCTCTATGGAGGGTTTGATCAGACACAGTTTGGGCTCCCTCTTCTGACTTATGGCTACTCCGTTGTCAGATACAATCATCCACTCCCTGTCATACAACAGGCCCTTAGGTCCGATATCCCACTCAGCTACCTACAAACAGGTACGATATTTATATACCACAAAACTCAACAGATACAATCATCCACTCCCTGTCATACAACAGGCCCTTAGGTCCTATATCCCACTCAGCTACCTACAAGTAGGCAGGATATTTCAGGCTTTGAGGCCACCAACACTGAGATTTTTATATGCTTGTAGCCCTGAAGCCTGTAATACAAATCTCTACAGATACTGTGGAATCATCATTGTTTATTGGGGACCGATTTTAGGACCTGGTGGACTTCACTAGTTACCCTTACCCATGTCATATTTAAGGTATAAGCAAATAACCCCAAAAAACTATATCCCCATGAAAAAAAAAAATTTTGCTTGCCTGCCCATAACATTGACCCTCAAGAATTAAAAAGATTCCATGGTATTAATAAAATGCCCTGAGAATGTATCAACATTGTACTTCCTCAGTTTTCTTTAATGTTTGCAATAAGGAGACACCAAACACTTACCATGAAAGCAGCACAAGATTTGACTGGGTACAGGCAGATATTGGTCAGTCTGACAGCCCCTGTAGAGGGAACCATCCTCTCTTTTGTCCTGGGTATGTCTACAGTTGTCAGCGTTTGGCACTTATTATCACTATCTGTATTTTCCCTCTGTCTTATTTTGTTTTCTGGTTCCACCTTTTTGTCAGTTTTCACTGCTGGAGAGAATTCATCGTCTATCTCTACTTCGTCCCAGTCCTCGGTAAATGTGGGTATCACTCGGACCTTCTCCATGAAGCTCTCCACAATGAACTTGAGGCAGTGCTGGGCATCACTAAGGGTGGACATGTAACCAAAGGAAATCCTCACGGACCCTGTCGGCTGACCATCAATCAGATCCTTGTCATCCCCACACACGTGCCCAGCCTTCACATAGAAACAAATACATGTAATTACAAAAGAACTTTAAATCTGGTCATTTTATTTCATGTTAGGTATTTTCTGTTTATATCTTCAATAGAAAACTGTTTCTCATTACAGAAACTTTTACTTAAATGGCAAAATATTTAAGTTATCCACTGAGTAAAATATATACCTGGTAATTTTTCAAAGCTCTAAAATTATGCAGTATTTTATTTAATCCTTCACTCTACATTTTATTCTCTTTTGTTACTTATGTTGGGAGTTGGTCTATACAACTAACCATCAGATTTTTCTTGATGCTCTCTGAGGTTATGTTAAGGAACATTTGACACGCTCCTATGTTACAGAAACAGCCACTTCTAAGGTGAATGTTGTACAACTGGGCCAGCTTGTCCACCTATACAAAATAAGCAGGTGATTAGGACAGGTAAACTCATACATCACTGAATAATACGGATGCAAAAAATTCTAGTTTTTCAATGTGGGTGTATTATAGTTATTTCCCTTTGCATATTTCCTTACTTCAGCAAATCCTATGTATTCGCCGTTAGCTCTCCTGAGGTTAAAATTGACCACTCCTCCCTGGGTGTTGGGGTCACAGAAGTTCCCATTGGTGTATATCTCAGCCAAGGGCATGCCATTACCATGACAAAGACCAGAAAGTTTATATTGGAAATACTTAGCAATGCAAAAAGTGTGTCCAGAAATTCTTCCCATACCACCTGAAAATTAAATAATATGTAATTGGCATAAAAAATGAAAAACTACATGAAAATTTATCTTTGAAATAATGATTTTTCCCTCAACACTCTTCATGCATCAGTTATGACATGCATTTATTATCAGTTTATGGTGAGAAAAAGAATTTGATGGGGCGTCTAGCATGAAAACATAAACGTTGAAAGATTGGGATTCAATTACCTGCGACCACACAATGTCTATTTCCCTGCAATTTACAGCCCAGATAAAACAATACGGGGCCGTCTAAGATATCAAAAAACACTTCAACACAATGTTAATGGACAATACACAATTAAAAATCACTGTAATTGATTGTTAAAATCAGATGGGAAATGCAGGTATTTCATCAAGGGCAATTAAAGCTCTGTTCTTAATGGTGCAATTATAAGAAAAAATGTTATCACTACCTCCTATTTTCTTCAAGGCATCCAAACCATGTCTAACTGCAATAATGTCTAGAAATGGAATAGTGCCATCCTCAAACCTGCAAAAAATAAATAATGGTTGGAGCTTTGATGTACTACAATGCTCTGGATTGAGAAAAGTTATCTAAAATACATAAATACATGTATTTAAAGAGAGAAGCATTGATTATGCTGACAAAAGAATCTATAATTTATAAATTTTCCCTACATTTTGGAACCCCCCCCCCCCTCTTCTTACAATATTTTTGACACACTGCAAATCTATTCAAGATAGATATGCCTTCAAAAATATACATTATTTTGCTTTTATTAATACTGTACATTAATTGCAAAATTTTATTTCAAATGCAAATGTAAGTTTATTCTAATTCATGAAAAATGAAGTTTAGTATACAATTATTTAATCATGTGTTTTCAACTGAAAAAAGTAAAATGTGATAGGAAATGGATTGTTTTTCAAGTTTTAATTTTCCTTAGCTTAGCTTTTCTTAGTTCTCTATCAAGGTTCCAAAAATATGAAGTATATTTTATCACACTATGCAAATTTCCTCTTTGGTATGTATATACTCCTGTGGTGAAAATGGTATGTAGTCACAATGAAATTCAGTCCATGGGGTGGCCAATCCAAAAATCAATGCCAGATTTCTAAACCTGGCAAAATGAGGGTAAATGACATTGTGGCTTTCCCTACAGGTGACCAAATATTGGATGGGAGATTGGTAATTTTATGACATCGCTTTTCAGTTGTGGAATAATCCCACTGAGCTTGCTTAGCTCACTCCTGAGCGTATTGATCAGAAGTAATTGTATTCAGAAATCCAAAAAGATTTATGCATAATGAAGAAATATTGTGCAGCTCCTCTCAACTGGGAGATTGCCTATTTTCAAATGAACAAATTTCATCAAATTTTTTTTTACTGTTGATTAATCTTTTGACATTAAGTGTAATCAAAATATAATGCTCTCCAAATTCTCAAAGGAGGGTGAGAACTTCGATGACTAATATTTGGGCTCAAAATATATTGAAATTGACAAAAACAAAACAAATGTAATTCAGAAACTGTAACATACAATGATTATGCATTTGTAATTTTGTCAACATAAATACACCTGAATGACCAGCACTAGGCCTTGAATCTGGGCACATTATGACATAAATACAGTACAAATATTGAAATCTGAACCGCTTGTAGTGCCCCAAATCAGATTTAAAATTAATATCAGATCAAATCACAGTGTTATGAAATGTTCTTGTCAATAAACTTTACTGTAAATAAGCAGATTACAAAGCTTATGCAGGGATAAATTCCCATTCATTCCGTGTCAGTATGTAAGGAAATGAACTTTACAATACAAGCATGCTACGCTTCATATTAAAAGATCCAAAATATTTTTCTTTGACCAAATATTGAACGAAAGGTGTTTATATTGGTTTTTTCATAAAATCCCCTAAAGCAGTTGTTTTAAGGAGATTTTCAGTAAAAATATTTGGAATGATTAATCATATCAAAATAAAATGAAGCTTAAGCAGTAAACAAAGTTGATAATGAAAAAGAAATTGAAATTTTTCGTAACTGGGTCTAGGTTTCCAGAGAAATTCGTAACTGTACAGAATGCTCAATGGTAGAATTCTAACACTTCACAAAACATTCATGGATAAAATCAAGTTTCACTATAGCATGATTTCATTTTTTTAAAAGATAAAATTACTAATTAAATCCAAATACTCAGTACCATCAATATGTGGTGATCAACAAAAAAAAATGCAGTAAAGGTTATACATGTATACTGTGATTATCACTAATTTTTGTGGGGGTTTAATTTTCATGGTTTTCAAGGTTCAGGATTTAAGTCCACCACAAAATGCAATTTTCACATATATAATTATTCTGAACAATTTTTCAACCGCAAAATCAAAGCCCCATGATGTGATTAAATTACAGTATACATGTAGAAGTACATGTACTTTGTAAATGAAATCTGGAAGATTATACAAAATTCAAAATTATCTCTTTTTCTCTTAAAATTACCATAAGGATAGCAATATTTGCATTCAAAAGCACTTGTTGAATCTCTCAAAGAAAACGAAAATGAATCACATATTAGAACTGTGCCCACATAGTTATAAAGTTCTTTATTATTATACTCTGCTATTTCCAATGCACTCTAATTATTTTACTTCAAAATTCTACATTCCCATCAATCAAGAAAGAAGAAACTGAGCATTAGTTTTCATTAATCATCTTTTAATTTGATAGGGACTTCTCCCTTTTCTCTCTCGTTAAAACTTTTTTTACCGGCAATGACGATCTTTCATGAGTAAAACAAATTCCAATTACATCCCTGGTTTTCAGAAGTAATTTGTGGAGTTTTGTCGTCAGGGTTTTATCACTATAAGAATGTAGTGGAGAAATCAATAAGCCTTAATTGTAAAATATGTCCTCTAGTTTCCTGTAGCTTAAAATGTGTCAAAAATTGAGGAGAAAACAGGAGTTATTGGGGAGGCCTGGCCTCTAAGCTTAAAGCCTGTCAGACGTATTAATGTTGTGTGCAGGAAGACGTGACAAATTCTCCGATCATTATTTCTCATTTTACATAGATACTGTCATATTTTACTCACTACAGAAAAAAAGAGAGTTGATTATTTGTATTTTCATTAATGTACATCCTTATTATACTACATGTATCTTTTTTAATTAAAATTTTAATAGACCACTCGCTCCTTCATCAGAAGGTTGTAGGATCAAACCCATCCCCGAACAACTTAAGTCGAAAATAAAATTTGAAGAAACGGTTCTTACACCAAGTGCTTGGCACTTTGAAGTTAAAGTTGAGGATATTTATGATGAGACCTTGAAAACTGAGGCCCTAGCTGTGTCACAATTATGAAAAAAAAAATGCGGCCTTAGATGTAAGTGCCATGTAAATGTCTAAATTTGAAGGGGGCTTCACTGAGTATGGTGATGTCTCTATATGACTGAAAATTCTCAAATGGGACATATATATCATATACACACAATTGTTCAAAGCTTTTTGAGCATACTGAATCAAATTGTTATTCAATTATAACAATAAGAAGTCTTTCATAATGCAGACTTATACCTGCATTACATAAGGAATCATCCTCATCCAAAGCTAAACATGATAGAACTGGTGCTATAAATTTCAATGATTCAATAAGAGAAAATAAAGTAAAAAGAGAATGGCATATAAATGACTTTTCAGAATTGTGTGTTGCAGATATTGGCTTAAAATTATTTGTAAAATGATGTTATGCAATTTGAAAAAAATACCGGTAATATGAAAATGCTCAGATTCCTTCAATAAGATGAAGAAAAAAACCTAGAAGCTACTTTCAAAGATGCTTAAACAACAAAAATTATAATAAACAAAATAAAATTCCTTCATTTTTCACATTTTGTGGCATTATCCATTACATAATGACTCCAATGAGTGACTTTTTAATGTTTTGGTGATCATAAATCTGCTACAGTAGGATGTTTCCCTTCCTGGTTTGATTGACAAGAAATACCCTACTGCCAGAATTTTACAATGGAAAGAGGCACAAGGAAAATAGATTATAAATGTAAAACCGGAGTGAAGGGGGAATATTTCGCTCATCGTCTGCTGATAAAATGGAAGGAAGCTGACAGAAGGGAGGATAAATGTAATTGAAATGTTGACAATTTTGAAGTTTATCGAGAAATATTGATGGAAAGGGAGTTGGCCCATGAAAACTACACCATTATAAATACCATGCATTATTTTTTAGGGATCCTATTTCGCCATCAAGAAAATTATGAGAGGTTTATGGAGAATAATTCAGCATTTTCATTTGCTCCGACAGAACCATCAGGTCACGACCTTGATTTTACTGTTACTTCCTGATTCTCTGAAATATCATTTTTCTGTAGAAAATATATAATGGATATTCAATGTTTTGTAGTTGAATATGGAATTTATTTCACGAGTGGGACAGGATTTTTGATATTTTCACGAGTGCGAAGCACGAGTGAAAAAATTCAATGTTTTGTAGTTGAATATGGAATTTATTTCACTCGTGAGACAGGATATTCTTTTTATTGCATTTTTAAAAAAAAATCTTTGATTTTTCCTTTGCTTTTGTCTTTTTGTTGTACAGTTATAGCCTACATGACGTCATAGTTGAGCGGTTGAGACGTCATAGCTAAGTGAGGTGAAAACACTGTAGACATGGATTTAGCAACATATTTTTGACATTTTTGTCAGTTTTTTTCGCTGTCAGAATGGTTTATTTATTTCCATCTATCTTATATTAGGTCAAGGATGATTTTCTTTACAACAATCTTTGTTATGGGAAGGGAAATCAAGAGTTTTCCCGCACTTCTGATATTCGTCACACTATGACAGGATATCATTTTGATATCCTTTCACACTGTGACAGGATATCATTTTTATTCAATGAATAAATTACAGTATTTCACAGGTAAAAATGTAATAAAATGGCTCCCTTAATATTCTCCACAAATACCCTAAAAAATATTACTGTTGTTGTTGTGCACAATTCTCCACAAATACCCCCAAAAATATTACTGTGTTGTTTTTTGTACAGTGTATCATAAGAATTCCTCATTTTTTGTATTTTAATTGCATCAGCCAAAATAAAATGAAGATCTTTTAAGCTATATCAACCTACCTATCTGCCAAGTTTGGTCTGAATACATGAAACATTTCTGTAGCAGAACTAGCTGACACTGTCCCTCCGCCAAAGTAAGTCTTCTTTAACAGTGAGGCTGACGAGTTCTTGACAAGGAGGGCCCCTAAAAAGAGAGAAAACAAGTAGGGATGATATTTACCATATTTAGTTGAAATTTCAACAACCTTAGGATAAATATTATTTGCATATTCCTGCACATGATTAAAGTAGATTTGTACTCAAAATGTGAGTTTGCTCATTATAACAGGGGTCTTCTTACCGGGGTACTTTGTAAACAGACTAAAAATCCATTTCTCTCTTTGACATGGTCTTTGAAAATAAGATTTTACCTACTGTGCAGTTAATTTGTAGACACTAATGCTTGTACTGTGATCTTGGTCTGATTGTAGTAGCATAATGATTAGGAACACTATGATTAGGAACACTAGCTAAAGCTTGTAAGTTCAAAATAAGGTTTTATATTTAACCAAAAGGTTGCAAAAAGCTGCAGGAAGTAATTTGATTCTAGTGTGTAATAAAGAAGAATAGGCTACTGTGTCTAAAAGCCTTATATTGCAAACTACAGCTTGATCATGCAGTTTTCATCTCTCATGAAACTAAATATAGCTATGAAAAACGACACCCTTCCATGAAAATGCAATAAATATTGGAAGATTAAAAATCTGTTAGACAAGTCTACATCACAAAAATTTATTAGAGTACTTTATAGGTCCTATATATATGTATGTGATTGTTAAGAAAAATTTGTGAAAAGGACTGCTAATGTTATAACTGATCATGTTATTTTCATGTGACTCTACTTTTCTGGATATTCATGTGCCATCTTTGAGGCCGCAGACCATTCTTTTAAATGACCTTTTATGTGTGTTTCAGCAATATAAGAATAAGGGCAAGTAATGTTTTGATTGGTACTGATGCCTCTAAATCACAAAAAATAATAAATTCCTCTCTTAAGATTTTAGAATCTACAGCTGTACAATATGTACAATTTTTGTGTTGAAATTATGATATTTACCCAAACCAGTAGGGAAACCAAACATTTTGTAGAAGGACAGAGTGACAAAGTCTGGTTGATATGTCTGTAGATTTAGAGGTGACGTGCTGATTAAGGCGGCAGCATCCAACACCGTGTACCAGTCCCCAGTAAACTGGTTCTGGAACCCCAGTCTCTGGTCCTTCACATCCTGTATCCAGGATAGTGGATATTTACAGCCGGAGAAGTTAGACTGGGCCGGATAGACAAATAAACAGTTTCCTGGGTTATATGGACTGTGCTGCAGTACAATTTGTGATTTAGAGACGTCTTTGTTATACAGATCTCCTTCTGCTAAACATATAATGGCTGATACCCTGTCCTGTAGACTTTCCCTCATACCCTGTACTGATGTGTGGTTGTCAAGGAGATAGCAAAAACAACCATGCTTGGATTTCTTTGATTGAGATGTGATGTGTGATTGGTCATCTTCTGCTGTATCACTGCTGTTCATTGGTTGAGAAAAATTAAAACATTCTGCAACAGTTTTGAGGGCAGCTGTACAGTTGGATGTGAAAATCACTGTGTATTCCTCTTGGTTTGTGTTAAAGTGTTCCAGAAGCCTGAATAAAATTACATATCAACTAGAAATATAAACTAGAGCACTTTATTAATGTATTATGAAAGTATATAGATGATTAATAGTTTACATGCATCAGCTGCATGTAGTAAATTTATAAACTTTTCAAAGATTTCTTCATAGGAATAGCTTCAAGTGCTTACATGTTCAATAGAAAAATTATGTTATAAGGAAATTTCTGAGAAAGACACTTTCAAACTGAATACTTTTCCAATCCTGACAGACCTTACAAATGTATGCTACAAGTAACAACTATAAAAGGTCTATTACATGAAACATTTACTTTCATCAGACATTTACCTGAATCTAACCTGGTCCACTGCATCAGTTGAGAGTCTGCTGCTCTCACTGCGACTGTGTGGGTTACCATAGAGATTGCCTAGCAACTCCTTCTGGTAAGCCTCTATCTGAGATTTGGAGTACAGGGTGGCTCCAATGTGCTCCACATACGTACATCCTACAAAAAAGGATGATTTTATAAACTTTATAGAACAAACTTATAATTAAACTGCAAGGAACAGATCTAGGTAGACCCACAAGGGACAGATTTTAGTACACCCTCCGAGGAACAGATTTTGGTACAGCCTATAAGGAAGTCATATTTTGGTACACTCTGTACATGCAGCTATAAAATAATATTAAACAGTGTTTAATTGTTATTAATTTACGTAATGTGCCTTCTCATGTTATGTAACACATACTTTTCATGCTTCGTTTATCTAAGGCACTTTACCCTCATGTAACAGTCTCTTTTTGTGCTATATGTTTCTGTAGTGTTATGTCCATGACTATTATATGTATTCATAACTTCATGTGTTTGTACGTCTCTATTTGTGTTATTTTCATTGTTTGTATTGACGCCATTTTGGTTTTAATTAATGGTCAATTAGTCCGGGGCTTTTAGCAATTGAGGGGTACCCCCTAGGGGGCATTCATCTACTTACGTAAATTAAAACAATAGAGGGAGACCCTCTAGGCAATATTGCCACTGGTCAAGTACCAGGCGCCCCCTGGCGACAGGGACCTTTTTAACCAATCAGAGCCCTGATTGAGTTATTTTTAAATAAAAACAAATTAATTAACCAATCAAAAGACGTAATTTCATAATAACTATCTGCAACTTTCCAGGAAAGCGTCACTTTTCTGAGAACTGGCAAAGGGGAAAGGTCACGGAATTTTTTTTTTCTCAATTTCCGCTTTGCTCTAATTTTACATCTGACGAAATTCACGTGCTTCCTGTTTAGAGCTAATTCTTTCAACATGGCGCATAGACTTTACGTTCGCTCGTTCTTCGGCATCCCAGCCTGGTATGTTATGTGCGACGAGGAAGTTGAGAGACTTTTCGAAATCATTCAGGAGGCCAATCACGTTCTTACCGATGCGCTGTTTCTGGTAACAATGGACTGTTCCGCATTCTGTAATGGATGTATTTTCTGTTACCCTCAGGATTTCGCTCCCGTGCCTGCTTGCCGTGTGCGTGACCAGCGTTCCCAGTGAATACTTGCCTGAATTTTCTACGTATGTGATTGTACATTTGTTTATTGTTATATCTAATCATGTTATCCGACAACGAAATAGAAATGACAGTCGGTGAAGCCGCTGTGACTAAGTGGGCCGACCGGAAGAAACTTTCACCCCGCACAGCAAGTTTACTTATTGAGCTGGGGTATGACAGCATGGAGGCGCTCTCATTACTAGTCGAAAACGATCTGCCCTCAACCATTCCTGTGGGACAAAAACGCCTGCTCTTACATTCTATAAGGCAAACGTTCCCTCGAGGCCTAGCAGCGACGGAAACCAGTAGACAAGAGTCAAGTGCAACAACATCGGAGGCCCCAGTGGAAGTTCACGCTGATCCCTCGCCTGGGACACCGTTACCAACAGAGCAAGTGCAAGGACAATCGAGTGATAAATTCATCTCCGAGATGTTAGGCCAACTTCAATCAGCCCAAGGATCCAGCCAGTCCACAATCAACACTGCCCCTACACTGGACCAACCAGGTATGTTCTCATGGCAGGACCCTCAGATTTATCTTAAATCCCTTTCTGCCCCTACATCAAGCCAATATCATGATATTGTAGATTTTGTTAATCTGGCTGCTGCCTCACAATCTGAAAGAGTTTTGTCCAACAATGAAGATGGGCAGTTAGTTTTTAAGTCAGGGCCCTCAAAACCCAAGCTGGAAAACATTTCTCTGTCCCAATGGTCAGTAGCCAACTTAGCAATCCTGCAAAAATTATTGCAGGAAAATGCCTTATCGCCAAATCATATGCTAGATTACTTATCGTATACCACCAGGGTGTACCAACTTCTGGCGTCGTACGAAATTAAGTCTGTGTTTTTCTATGACAGAGAATACAGAAAGCTTCAGAACCTGCACAAATTTAGGTGGGGCACAGACATCCCCCATATCCAAACGGTTTATTTAAAACCTAGGGTTCAATCAGCCCAGCCAAATCCCACAAAGTCGGTACGACCTATACCAAGTGGTCAATTTCCCCCTAGGGCTTCCCATACACCCCAGGGTTCAGAAATTTGCAAGCGGTACAACACGAGGAAAGGTTGTTACTCTAAACAATGTAGATTTTCACATGTGTGCGCAATTCCGGGCTGTGCCGAGAAACACTCTTCCACTGATCATACTGCTTCAAAAAACGGTTAAAACCTTCAGGTCTCATCCTGTCTGCTTGGGAAGATGAACTCAAATATGATCCAGATAAATCTTACATTCTTCAAGGTATCAAAAATGGCTTTCATATCATAGATCCCTCCCTGTCCCCCCAGTCAGTTGAAATGGATAATCACCCTTCAGCCTCCCCTCATTCAGAATTATTTTCAAAAGCCACGGCCCAGATTTTAGATGAAATTAGCGAAGGCAACTATGTTCATGCACCTAACCCCCCCCTATTAGTTAGTCCAATGGGCATTATTCCTAAATCAGATGGGGGCGTTCGCATAATACATGACTGTAGCCGCCCCAAAGGTGCTGCAGTCAATGATTATGTGTCAAACGATCATAAATTCAAATACCAGTCGTTAGATGATGCAACTAAATTAGTCAGACAGGGCTGTTACATGGCCAAAGTAGATTTAAAATCGGCTTACCGATCAGTTCCTATTAGTGCAGAAAGTCAAAAAGTTACAGGTTTTAAATGGCCCTTTGCAGGCAAATTTTCTTATTTTTATGACACTAAACTCCCATTTGGATCCAAAGAATCCCCTGGTATTTTTCATAGACTTTCCCAAGCAGTTCGCAGAATGATGGCCCGTAGGGGTTACATTATTGTAGCTTATCTAGATGATTTCTTCATTTGTGAGAAGTCTAAACAAGACTGCGCACAAGCTTTGTCAACGTTAATACATCTCCTTAGGAAACTAGGTTTTTATATAAATTGGAAAAAAGTAGTTGACCCCTCTCAAGTATTAGTTTTTCTAGGCATAGAAATTAGTAGTGTACATATGGAACTTAGGCTGCCCGCAGGCAAGTTATCAGAGCTTCGCAACGAGCTAAATCTCTTTACAGAGCGCAAACGTGCTTCAAAGCACCAATTGCAATCCCTAGCTGGGAAACTTAATTGGGCCGCATCAGTGGTATACGGTGGAAGAGTGTTCCTGCGCCGCATTATCAATGCCTTTACCGGCCTCAAGCACAAATCTCACAAGATTCGCTTGTCAGGTGAGATCTTCCAGGATATTTCCTGGTGGAGCCAATTCCTTCAAACTTTCAATGGGAAGTCCCTACTTCTCCATACTAAGCCAATTACATCAGTTTACACTGATGCCTGCACACTGGGTGCAGGGGGTTCATGGAACCACGACTGGTTCTATTGCAATTGGGAATTAGATTTACCTTCTGCAACCAATATGCATATCAATGAAAAAGAAATCTTGGCTGTTGTTATCGCGGCTCATCGCTGGGCCCCACTCTGGGCCCACCATAGGGTTACTATGTTTTCTGACAACTCAGCCACAGTGGCCAGTATTAATAAATGCATGTCAAAAAATTCTGCTCTCATGCAATGTTTGCGCAGTTTGTTTTGGCTCTCAGCCACTTACAATTTCAGATTTACTGCCAAACATGTACCTGGTAAGCTTAATTGTAAGGCAGATTTTATTTCTCGCCTCCATGAGAAGCAAAATTTTACCACCTTCTTAGATTCCATTGCACATCCTCGCACAGGATACGTGGATGTGAGTACCTGGTACTCACATATTTCTAAGCCCACCTTTTCTTGTCTTTTTGACAGGCACACACCAGCTTTCAACCACTTCCCTAGATGCAAGAGTGCGGTTGCTTAGATGCAACATCCTGGCTGATTCCACCAAGAGGACATACTGCTCTTACCTTCAGTCTTATTTGTTGTTTTGTAATTCCCTGGGCATTGCCCTGGTGCCAATATCACCTGATAATTTGTGCAGATTCATAGCTTTTCTGTAGTTTAGGTTATCTTTTTTTTCGATTCGTAATTATTTGTCAATCGTACGCTTGCTGCACCTAGAAGCAGGTCACCCAAATCCTTTAGAATCCTTGCAAATTACTAATCTCCTTAAAGGAGTTAAACGCCTCCTAGGTGCAAAGTCCAATCCTAAGCTGCCCATCACCCCTGACATTTTATATAGAATGTTTCAGTTCATTAATCTGCAAAGCCCAGAGGATCTCACCTTCTGGTCAGCCTGCTTAGTAGCATTTTTTTCCTTTTTTAGGAAATCTAACTTACTTGCCCCAACTTGGGACAAATTTGACCCTAACAAACATTTGTCAAGGTCTAATATTACCTTCACCTCTAATGGAGCAGTGATAACAGTGCTCTGGTCAAAAACCATTCAATATTCTCAAAGGTCACTGCAAGTACCCTTGCCCCATATCCCAAAGTCCCCCTTTTGCCCGAGTTGTATGTTAAAGCTTACCTTTAGCCTCTTTCCATCCGCTCAGACCCATCAGCCAGCCTTTACCTATTTATTGGGGTCTCAGTGGCATTTATTATCATATTCAACCTTCCTACGAAAACTGAAACATGTTTTATCAAAGATGGATATTAACCCTGATAAATTTTCAGGGCACAGTTTCCGTAGGGGAGGGGCATCCTTTGCATTAGAGTGTGGTTTACCACCCGAGTTAATTCAATCCCAAGGAGACTGGCGATCAGATGCCTATCGTTCATATTTGGACCCATCTCTTTCATTTCGGTGTCAGGTAGCTGCCAGGTTAGGTTCAGAATTCCAACGAAAATACCCAAGCTAACCTGCCATGTGAGCATTCCTTTTTGGTATATTGATCTATGTACATATTTTTGATATTTGATATATATGTGTTATGCTTAGTTAAGTTGCTTGTGGCAGGTGCTTTTGTGGGTTGGCCTTCACAGGATTCACATTCCTTCATCCACTCCGCCATGTGCCACTAACTATTCCCTGTGCTATCCTACCTTGTGCTTACTCGGAGAGTTCACCTATTCTAAGACACTCGATGCGAATTTCGCTCAAGCTATGGTGAGACTATTTCATGAGCTAATGTACAGCTCTTCGATTACCGTACTCATTCTTGGTGGTGCTTCCTCCTATTAGATCACCGATGCGTCAAGTCTGCAGCACACAAACTGTCGAAAAGATGTTCACGCTGGATGTGATGACCCTACATATTCCTGACTATACAATTATAACAAACATCATGTGCAATATCACTGTTTGTAATTGTTATTACCACTTGACTTGCTGTTATTTGTTTAAATTGTTAGAATAGGCGTGCATGTTGTGTGAAAGATTTTTATTTTTTTATTTATTCTATTTTAATTTTATTGTTTTTATTTATTTTTCCCCTACACTCTACTCAGTTTGGGCTTTTGGAGGTTAACCATGATTTCATTCAACTGATTATTATCACTTACATGTCTAATGTATTTTATATTTCATTGCATAACAAATAAATCATGGTTATGTCTGCCCAAACTTAACATTGTGTTGTCTTACTTTATGTCATGGCTGCAGTTCCTAAGTTTAAGGTTAAGGAAATTAATATAATATTAAACAGTGTTTAATTGTTATTAATTTACGTAATGTGCCTTCTCATGTTATGTAACACATACTTTTCATGCTTCGTTTATCTAAGGCACTTTACCCTCATGTAACAGTCTCTTTTTGTGCTATATGTTTCTGTAGTGTTATGTCCATGACTATTATATGTATTCATAACTTCATGTGTTTGTACGTCTCTATTTGTGTTATTTTCATTGTTTGTATTGACGCCATTTTGGTTTTAATTAATGGTCAATTAGTCCGGGGCTTTTAGCAATTGAGGGGTACCCCCTAGGGGGCATTCATCTACTTACGTAAATTAAAACAATAGAGGGAGACCCTCTAGGCAATATTGCCACTGGTCAAGTACCAGGCGCCCCCTGGCGACAGGGACCTTTTTAACCAATCAGAGCCCTGATTGAGTTATTTTTAAATAAAAACAAATTAATTAACCAATCAAAAGACGTAATTTCATAATAACTATCTGCAACTTTCCAGGAAAGCGTCACTTTTCTGAGAACTGGCAAAGGGGAAAGGTCACGGAATTTTTTTTTTTTTTTTTTTTTTTTTTTTTTTTTTGTACGAGAGTAAAAAGTGTGAGTCTGTGTAGATCTTAGTTAGAGGTTAACCATGATTTCATTCAACTGATTATTATCACTTACATGTCTAATGTATTTTATATTTAATTGCATAACAAATAAATCATGGTTATGTCTGCCCAAACTTAACATTGTGTTGTCTTACTTTATGTCATGGCTGCAGTTCCTAAGTTTAAGGTTAAGGAAATTAATAGCAATACATATTGGTAAAGACCTATAATGGAAGAGATTTTGTACATACTATAAGGAACAGATCTAGGTACACCCTAAAAAGAACTGATTTTGGTACACCCCACAAGGAACAAATTTTCAATTGGTACTCCGTATAAAGAACAGATTTTGGTAAAACCTACATGTGCACCAGGTTTTAGGTTATTTCAAAAAACCAACAAAGAAGCAAACAAACAAATATCCCCCCCTCTCAAATAGATACTTCCATTAATTAGACAGTATGTTATTTCATGGTTTATGATTTGCATTTCATTTTTGTAAACTGTCAGGAACTTTGGCAGAATAAACTTCAAAACTGACGTCTGGTTTACCACATCAAAGCCGTGTCTGCATATTAATGAGCCAGTTAACGAATCTAGATTATTTATTACATCTGAATATCTATCTAATACATTTCTACACATCATCTGCTGGATTAGCAATTGATGAAAAAAAATGCTTTTGAGGATGTTAAATGCATTTATTTGATTAAAATAACAACACCTAAAAAAATCTATATACCGGTAAGCCTATAATTGTACTGCACTTTCATTGTAAATCATTGTTTGCAGGCAATTATTTAAGCATGAATAAAGTAAAACAAAACTTTTTAGTAGACAACATGGTACAAGTTAGGACATTTCCCTATTAAAAACTGCCTCTGAAAAAGAAATTAAGCCAATCTTAGAAAATGGTCCATGTCAGAGCAGATGTTCTCCTGCCTAACTTTGGTGAATGCTGCGTTCTTTTCTTTTTAGAGATGAAGGTAAACTTACTTCAGTCTACCAGTATATCATTTTATTGTTTAGGTTAGATAATTAAATATGTAACTACAACTGTTTAAACACTGCAATCTTATATATTTATAAAAATTTTTTTTAGATTAAATATATGAATTTCCTGGTAATGCTGATAACTTCTATGCTTTCTGGTTTGCATGTGTGTAAATATTTACACGTAAAAAGTAAGCAACGTAAATTATGACAATAACTTACAAAGTGAGTCAAAGCAAATCATGTTCAAAATATGTCTACATGAGTACATCAAACAAAACATCTTAATGTTCACCAATGTTTGTGGTTGGAGGTTGTATCAAATCTTAACCACTGAATCCATACAAAACAGTTATAACTTTTACACTTGTCATTTATTGATTTAGGAATTTTTTTTTTTACTGAAGCCCAGGAACAATTGTACTAATTTACATTTACATATTAAGATGAAAAGTAATATAAAATATATATGTTACAATATTTCCATTTCTAATTTTTTTCTCTGTGATAACTCTTTAAAAGTTTTGGGAGTATATTCTTGATAATTCTGCCGACATGTAAATTAGGTAGGTCGATAGGTCAGGAGCTAAGGAGGCCTAATACGCATGCAAATCTCGTGCGCATCTGTCTCTGTGTCTGACGCTAAGGATGCCAAATATGCATGTAAATCTCGTGCGGCTGCCTATGTGTTTGACGTCAGTGGGTGAGGACTATTGAAATTGGCATGGAAGTCCTCGTGTGATTATCGTCTATGTCTACATTTTTAAAATCTAAATCTACAATTTTATTTCACAATGAAATGGAAATATAAGGTCACTGTCAGAGAAAACATCAAAAATAAACATATAATTTTAGAAATTTGCCCGTTAAAAATTAAGGTTTCCCACTATTGTTGATGCCCTGGCATATACTCTCAAAACTAGACAGTGATTCCTTAAGTGAAACTTTTATCCAAGATGCACTGGGAAACAGATTTTGTGTCAGAATAGACAGCTAGGGTGTCCACAATCTGATTAAAATCAGATCATTGTTACGCTCCGAAATTCTGATGTTGCTGTATAAAGTGTACAGCAACATCAGAATTTCAGAGCTTAACAGCGACATTTCGGAGATTAACAAAAATCAGATTGGGATGTCGAAGAACACTAAAAATATTTCAGTGGAAATAAAAATAAGGGCAGCCTGGCTTGCGACGATGCCTTAATATCTGACAAGGGAACAGTCACCCATGTAGTGCAGTGGTAACAGAGCAACTGCTGTAGAACCATGGAATAAGAAGTTAATCCTCATGTTGCAGGTTCCAATCTACTGCAAGACATGGAGACCAGTCCTTCAGATGAAATTGAATAAACCGAGTTCCTGTGTCACAGTAGGTGCTTGCACAAAAAAGGTATAAAGAGCGATATATAGTAAGTGTCTCAATTGGCCCCTTAAAATGAATATCTTAATTGTATTATATATATAGCTTTAATTTGTACAGCTATATATGCGACCTTTATTGGTCATTTTCATTTTGATCAAAATGCCGTTATTTTAGAAATATGACATCATAAAAATAACGTTTTCCCGCCATTTTAGCATATTTTGTATGAAACTGCTCATTTTCAAGCAGTTTTTCTTCCAGAAAATATAGAGCGCAGCATAGAACAAGATTTTTATTTTTACCAAAGATGTATCTATCCAATATTAATTAGTGACAGAAAAATTAGGTATGTTCTACACTGCGCTCTATGTTTCCCATAAGAAAAAACAGCAAGAAAAAGGCATATTTTTGGCTTTTTTGTTAGATAGCAAAAATAGCATTATTTCGCATGTCATTTACAGCTAGTGAGTGCATATAAATGTGAAAAATATATTGGAAATATTTCAAATATCATCTTTTCTTTAAAATAAATATCAATTAAACATATTTGAATGTCATTGTAAAATATTGATTTTTAGGGGGCCAAAATTGGCTCTTATCATATATACTCCTTTTGCAGATTTCCACCTGCAAGTGGTGGCATCTCCATAAGAGTGAAAAATTCTCAAGAGAGACAGAAACAGCAGTGTGAGAGATAACACAGTTGTTGGATTAGAATGTTGTAACTGTACAATTTGGCAACTTAATTATAATTCTATTAGCAAAACGGAGCCAAGTCTTTCAATGAAAACCCAACTGAGTTACATGCAAAGTAATTCAACCATGCAATAATTTGATGAGTTGATAATTCATAGTAATTAGAATGAAAACAAATTAGAGGAACAGACATTTTCATCTATGTCTTGTGATATAACTAGATCTGCATCACCATCACTGACAGATGGAGTTTACAGATAGGACATTCATGTGTCCCCTCTGCTGAAGTGGAGTTGGATCTCTCTGTTTTGCACCTGCAGGTTATGAGGTATATATAGCATTAGGATCTGTGTTACTGTACAATGAAAATGATATTATATGTGAACTTTGTCACTACAGTTCAGGCACCTTAAAATTAAAGACTTACCATTCCATCCCCTTCCCCCCTTTGCAAAATATCGGAATAAGTCACAGCTTAACTCTGAGTGAACTATTTACATGATAACTGGTACATGCATAAGATTATGAAGTACTGTAAATCACTTCTTATTCGAATGAACTTTATTTTCACATAATTATGCCAGACAGTATGCTCACAAAAATATCATTCTTGTATATAAAAGCATTCCTTATTAAGATTACATAGAGTAATAACCATAATTCATGAAAATTTTGTCTTGCTATTAAAGAGTCAATGACTATGTTGGGAAAATAAGGTGTCGCAAAAATTTAGTGATCTACAGTAACCATTTTGAATCAGTTAACCTAAAGAACTTACAGTACAGTTATGAATACCATAGATCAGATGTAACATAATTTAATGACAATTATTAATTTGTTCAGACAAATGAACCACTGATATGATTCAGTTCTAAATGAACCAGGGTATGTCTGGACCTCGTTACACATCTAGCTTTATGCTTGCTTTTTCACCAAAGATGCTGAAAGTATAGATACAGGAGAGGTATTTATATTTTATTCACAGATCTACAAGATGTTCAAAATTCAGTAGCTATAGTGTCATTTTGGATACAACCCTCTAATAACTTTCAACTATCAGCAGGAGATGCAGTTCATTAAAACCAAATACAAGGTCTTTGAATGCCAGCAGGGAAATTACAAGACAATTTTCCACCTTACTTGGTTGGTGTGATATTTTTCAACAGCAAAATAATGTTCTGAGATCAATACAAAGTAAAATAGAATACTTGTTGGGGACATTCTCGGCATCACACCGTAGACTGGTCTAATTATTGTGGACCTCTAATAAACTCCCATTATCTCGGTGTGGAGTGCTAATTCTGCCTTGATTGAAATTGCTGGAGAAGCTCTGGGGCTTCACTGAAGCAAGTATATATAGGAAGAAGTCTTAATAAAACAAGAGGAGGAAGTGTGATACAAAAAATTTATGAGGCGATATGATTGTCTTCTAAACTACTTATAGTTTATTTCTGGACAAGCTAGAAGACATTTTATTGATATTGTTGCTCCTCTCTGAAAATCAAAGATCAGAAATGACAGTACATTTGTCACTCTTTCAGTGCAATAAAATTCATAACTTTACCAAAAACCCTATATAGTTTCCCCATTTTAATGTTGCATTCAGACTTTATCATTGAATCTTGACTGAACCCATGTGGTCAGATACTATTTGGTAATTTTCAATAATTAAAAGTTTATTTCCAATGATATTAATGCACACAGAGAAACATGCTTGTCTTTGTTTGTATGAAATCTCAGGAAATATGTTCTTGTCTGTTTTCACCTGCAGCAGCTACAATTTGCCCTAAATGAAATATATTTATACAAAAATCCATTTTCTTCATTTGCCATTCTTTTGATTTAAATTACAAGTTTTAATACAAGAAGCAGGTGGCTTGATACAATCTGTGAATTATTTCTTTACAATCATATTCAAAATTTATTTTTGGCCAAAAAAAAAAAAAAATTGGACCAAGTGAAAACTTTGAGGTATACAAGGACTCAAGACATCAAGGTAAAAGGATGATGTGACATAACTGCTATCTGGGGCCCCTTTTTTCACAACGAATTATATTTAACCTACAACGATGTTGGTAGTTTTCAAACATGAGTGAATAAATACGATGCCTTTTGAAGAGTTTCAATAGTTCAGACTTGTTTTATTATAAGGAATACTGCATTATCTTTGATTTTTAAGACCCTATCACAGTTAAATTCGGCCAGGTTTGTGAGAATATTTTCTTTTATATATACAATAGAGGGATATGCGTGTTCGATTATATGGCTATTGTTATTATTACGCACATAGTCATTGTCCAATCCGATGACAGAACAACAAAACATGCTTGTTTAGTACGTTTACATTTCATCGCAGACACGTGGTTTAGGTCAATTTACCTGTTATCCTTTTTCTACATTTCATACTTTTATAATGGTCAGCCAATGCTGTTTATACTGAATAATACGCATGTATTTTCAGTATTTATGGTCTTTAGGACAAGAAATGCACAAGAAACTTGTATTCACCGATACTCGGGAATACATGTAGACCTAGCGAATTGCTCACCAAACACACTACAAAACTTTAAACTAATGTATATCATGTATGTTCTATCGATTGTTTGTAACTGTATATAAATTTAACTGTGGTCTCGGAAATGGTACATATGTAGATCCGTGTCTAATCTGTAGCTCAAATGCATAAAAAATATCGGAAAGCAGTAAAATTTCAAGCATGTTTCCATTCTAATTTTGTGGTACTCACTCGTAACGAATTTCATTTAGCTGATTGGTCAGTTAGAAAGTATCGCCTGTGCCTCGATTAGCATATGAATTCATTCTTACGTCAGAATATCTAGTTCCGTCGATCTGTTTATAATGGGAAAGGGCAATTAGAATTTACAATTTTTTTAAAAATAGCATGTGAGCGCAGTTAGGTACAATTTTCTCCTTTCACATATAGGTAGAATACAATGAAATACAGTGACCAACTAAAGGAGAAAATTGTACCTATCTGCGCTCGTATATTTTAAGGGCTTCAAAGAGTGGGGCGGGGTTAAAATGCAATGGGAATTGAATGTAAACATGATACCCCTACCCCAATCTAAGATCTATATCTTTCAAATCACGTTTCTATTATTGTAAAAAATAGTATTCTATGATGGTACACATATCAGTGATTAGTTACATACAAAAAATTGAGTAAAATTTAGACATTTATTTTTTTGTCAATATACGAGGGGCCGCAAGTCACCTCATCCTTTCTAAAAAGTGCATTATATGTGGTAGAATTCTATATTTATATATTAATACTTGACCAGGTTTATTCATAGTTTTTTTTTCTTTACAGGGTCTCATTCACAACCTATGACTTAGGTCCATTCTGGATGAGACAGCACTGCATATAACCAGAACATCACAGTTTTATCCATGCCTGTAAAAATGGATCTACATGTATCAGTAAGAGTTATCTTTCTTTAAAATGATTTTAAAGGGATAAAATATTAAATGGAAATTTAATATTGGGTAAATGAAAAAAATACTGAAGTGTTTTTAAAATTGATTTTAAGAGATAAGATTATCCCCATTTTAACAATTCAAAAATGTTACAAATCAAAGATAATAAGTAACTGACTTACATATTAGCAAATATTAGAAACAAATTGGGTGTTTGTTACCTGCAGGATTGTATATTTGAATGAATTGATCAGGCACAATGATTTACTTCCAAGATAATTTTTAAATACATTTTTGTATTTACATGTACTGTAAACCACCTATAACTGACATAAGTGACTGTTTTTTCTTTGCAAATCAACAGGAAATCCAGTTTGTAGCAATAAATATATGTGACTGTGCTAAGTTTGCTTTCAGAAAAATAACATATATGGCATAGCAAGTGATTGTTTTTGGGATGACAAATATCTATTAGTCATATGGGAACATTGTTAATTTTTCTTGCTTGTATATGAGTTAAATTACAGAAAGTAAAGTACTAATTCATGGATACATGTTTTTTCGGGATGAAAGTGTTTTTGTCCTAAAATATGTGTATAAAAAATGTGGAAACTTATTTGCAAATCTTAAAGCTTGTGTCATACTTTAAAGAAATATTTCAGAAACATGTCAGTCCTACCAAACATCAGGGAACTGAGGGGGTTATCACTGAGGGTGTCCTGGGAATTAGCCGTCAAAATAAAAATTAATTTAGGTTGATTTACTGCAGTTAAAAAAATATCATACTAGTAAATAATGCCCCTATAAGCAATGTTGACAGAGGGGAACACGAGATTTCCAGACTTAGGCAAATCAATTAATGATATCAGTGACTAGCTGAAATAGAACTCTCAGTTCAGATTCAGTGTCAAATCAATACATTGTAATGTTTGTGTACATGCATGTTTAATTCCATACAATGTTAGAAAGCTGAGCAGCTTAAAATCCATAATTTTGAAGACAAAAAATGAACAAGTTACAGAATTACATGCCTAATTAAATCAAAAGCATAACGAGAATTACATGCATTAAAAACATCACCAATATATATATAAATATAGTTTTATTCACTCCTCTGATATTCTTATTATTATCATAATAAAACTTTATCTTTAACCATAAAGTGATTAACAAATAACATAAAATAAGAAAATAGCGAAGTACTTTTATCTTTTTAGTATAAAATATATATCCAAATATATAATTTTTGATGAAGAGTTTTCTCCCTTTATGCAGTTTTTGTCAACTTATTATTATTAGTGTATCGTAGATATAAAAAGCCCTTATTTTTTCACTATTGGGAGAAGTTCATTTTACTTATTTTAAAAAAAATCAAAATTTGTGTATATCTTGTTTGATTATTATTTCTTTTCTCTAAATCTGTCGAATTTAGAGCAGGGGGAGGGAACTCTGGAACACGAATAACACAAATTGTGACAAAATTGATCGTTTGTCAATTTTGGGGATGTCTTCACATTAATCTTAAGATAAGATAAACGAGGTCAATATTGTCACTCCCTGGAAAGGATAGCGGCATGTGTTCTATAAATATTTATTTAGATAAGGCGATTTTGACCTCACACATGTGTGTGTAGTCAAAAAAAAATGTAAACAAACATTTCAATGATTGTTACGCTACCTTTTAGTTGCGGAAATTCTAATTCCCTTCTTGATTCTATTTCTTTGTTGTAAAGGTCCCTAAATGCCATAACAACCTATGCTGTAACCTCCTCTTTTACGCGAAGAACATCTAAACAAAATATACAGGATGAAAATCTAGTACTTCGTGGAGGCTGCCATGTTTTCTCTCTGTGACCTCCTTTGACTTTTGAACTTTACACTATGCATATTATTTTCTCATATATATTCATCCGCAGTTATTTTAATGAAAAATTCGACAATATAGCAAAATTTTTATCATATGACAACTCAATAAATGGATTAGATAAATTGATTGAAATATAAGATATGCGTTACTCATGACATAATACGCTTATTTATAAATAACGATTTTTGTCTTCGCGGAGGTGCGGGCAGCGTTGTTTGTCCCCATCTGACACGATATTCATAATCTTTTGAGCACACCTCTATTTAGCATCTTTCCTTTGGCTGTGTTATCCTGTGTGTCAACCCTGCCTTTTCCCTCTGCTAGTGTATACCCAGGTATGTTTCACGTGCATCCAGGTAGCTTTCGCCTTTCACTATTTAACATTTGTATTTTTATTTCTTAGGGATGGGTATCGCCAAAAATTTCGTATCGCGATATATCACGATTTTTTCTCCACAATATCACGATAATATCATGATATTTTTAAAAGCAGTTTTTACAATGATTTTATATGAAAAGTCATATTTTTCTAAAAAATATGCTAGAAAAACAAAATTTTACTCTCTTGAAATTTTTATGTATATAAAATCAATTACGTTTGGACGGTACCGTTCTTTTCACTTTTTACAACATTTTTTATACTTTCTGTAATTGTTATTGAAAGATTGAACAAATAAATGAATAATTTTGGACATTTGTACCTAAAGACCGGTATTTAGGTCTCGGTATCACGATACGTATCACGCAACAAAAAATCGCGATATACCGGTATACCGATAAAATCGCACATCCCTATTATTTCTATCTTACCGGGTGAGTTCTTGTAAAAAAAAAATCTCTCTCGCACGCTGCTATACCAGAAAATGTAAAAATAGCATTTTTACATTTCCATAGCGCGTGCAGTTCTCTGTATTATTTCCCCAAGTTTTTAGCACTTTCCAGGTGCAGCTTTTGTCCGCATGCATGTAATATATTATCCATCCTTAGTTTTTTTTCTTCCACTTAAAAAGTTTTCAATTTAATTTTTTTTAAAGTTGGTGACAGGGGTTCTTTTAAAAGTACCAAAAATTGCGTAAAATCGGTTCTTTTAGTCTCTTATCGTATTCACCTGTAGCATATCCTAACCTTCGGTATTTTTTTAATTTTGTTCTCCCCCCTTCACTCACTCCCCCTCCATATTCGCCACCTTTTTTTCATGAGGATTTCGCATGATAGACAGAAGAAGAAAACAAGCAACACAGAAGAAGACAATGCATGAGGAGAAAAAAAACCTTGTAACAAGTTTTTTTATTTTACTCCATTATTCTGACTAACATTTTACCCTGTGGAAACTATAATCCCCAAGCTGTGCACTGCTCCCACTAACCGTCACACAAATACCACTGCTTTTTGGATGGACAGCTTTATATAGGACTACATGTGGATTTCTCACGTTGTGTGGAGGACTTGGACAATACAGGGACTGAAAGCTCCCAATTAAAGGTGTGTATACTAAACAAAAGATCTGTGATAACTCTACCACCATTGAGAACCGGCTGATAATTAGTCCTTGGTACTCTTACGATAAATCTGTGCTAGTAAATCTGGTAATGATTTTTTTTCGTTGCTTGTCTATTTGACATTCTGATTTCTCGCTCATAAGGCCTGTATTGATTTGATATAAATGAATCCGTCTTGACTGTCTATAATGATGATGACAACATTTCTATGGTGTTTGCAGTGGGATTAAAAAGTGGACACTAACGGAGGACGGCAATAAATTGGCTCCCAATCTGATGCTGGTCGCACCGAGAATGTAAAAGACAGTATATAACTTGCTGAAATTCAATTATCAAGGACTTATATTGATTTTCATATTAGCATTCTCTTGCTTGATGCAAAGAGGAAAAAAGGAAATGTGAAAAAAAAAACACCTTTAAACTTCTAGGGAAATGTTTTTGTGCATTGGGATAAGTAAATGTGATACATAGAAACTGGACAGTGATTTGTATGAACATATGTACACCAAGACAATGAATCTCTCACAGGTAAATATACAGTAACTCAATTTCCATGTAATTTAATTTCTTGAATGGCCAGTTCAAAATAAATTTACACTATGAAGGTTTGTATTTTTGTTTTCTATTTGAATGAAGAAAAATGACCAGCGAAGGTAAATATCTAGATAAAAGTGTTTATAAATCTATGGAAGAGGAAAAAATGGAGAAAGGGAATAGGGGAAATAGAAAGTTTTCAGAGAGGTTCAGAGGTATTTACAGAGCTGGGAGAACTTGTTTGCAGAGGATTTTTCTATACACATTGTATACATTTCCCACTGCAGCCATGACGTTTTGTTTAGAATATTGAAAAGCCCACAACATGCTGTGCGTAGTTAGTGACCACATGAATATAATTGTAAAGTAGAATAGAAATCCGGCTTTAAGCCTGGGATTTGACTTTGTTTGGTCAAAATCTATGTTGTTAACACAATAACATTTTGACAATGAGGTGAATTAGCGGACCGATTTAGATTTATGGTCCTAGGAAGGGATCATTTTGATCCTAATCCTCAAGGTTATTATGCAATTTGTTCTCTGTAAATATGGGTCATTTCTGAATCAGGCTTACTCTGAATAATTTTAAGAATTTTAAACTGTGACATATTGCACAGAAGCAAGGAAATTGCGATTCAATTATAGCTGAAATCTATAGCTAAGTATCTTCAGTTATAGCTAAAGAGTACAGAAATAACATGCATTTGCCTTGGAAAAGACCATAAAATTCAATCACTCAAAAAATCAAAGTTAGAAAATTGATAGAATTTTGTTGCATCACCATCTAATTAAGTTATGATTTATATTGCTAGCTTTAATGGAGGAGATTGCAGTTACATTAAAAAAATCTGCTTCAGGGGATTTAATTCTATGATTGGTCTAGGTGTACTATGAAACCTTTAATTTATGTATGATCAAAAACTCTGAAGTAATATTGACATTACTGTGGCAAATATTGATGTAACTGAATATTCTAAGTCTGATTCTCTCTAAATATGTTTGGAAATTGGCTGAAACCTTGCCTGTTGTTTGCAGCTTCTTAAATAGATACAGGTTTAATTAACAGTGGTTTAATGTTTGCAAATGGATAATTAATTCATTGAGCAGACCCTGTCTTAGCCAAGGAGTGGGATACTTAGAGCAGGCCTTAACAGAGAATGTCTAATGAAATGCTTATGGAAAAGATATAAAACGCTCGGATGACCAAGAGCTTGCCGTCACTGCGTAGTGTTCAGAGTGATATACAGATGTATCAAAACCTCCGAACTTCACCACGAATCAAACATCATTAGCATGATAATAAAGCTCAGGGTTCTCAAAATCCCCACAAAGAAAACCAGAAAAACAACATTCAGTAACCACTGCTCGGGTTTTGTATATAATATATTGAAGTAGAAACTTGTGAATAGAAGTTCACAGCAGTGTGTTAAGCTTAAGATGGGGGGTACATGTATAGTTATGTTTAAGCTTAGATTTGAGGTATAGTTATATGTTTGAGGGAGATCTTGGTAAGGCTATTGATGCGGCCTTAATCCTTTTTTGGTCCAACAGTGAAGGTATAGAATAATTTGGTTGAGCCAGACTCCTGCGAGAAAGATTTCAATTTTATGTTATTTAATATTTCATGTTGAAGCTATAATTTGGTTATATCTTTTATCAATTTGAATTTCAGTTACAAAAAGATGTGACTTTTCTTTAGAAAAGAAATATCAATATAGATTGATATGTTTTATGCATGTGGTTGATTTCTGATAGGAAGATTATCTTGGTTGATAGATCCCTATCCAATCTCTAGTTGTTATATTGAATTAGAGAGTTTTTTTTCTAAGATTAAGGAATATTGGCAGACTGAGTTTCTAGCTGATGTTGATTTTCCTCCTGTCATACTTTTTCAAAAGTGTTTCTTGCATTTTTTTTTTTTGGTGCCATATAACATGTATAATAGATTTTCTCTGGAGGATTTGTTGGTGCTGTATGAATGTGTGAGTACATCACAATTAACTCCCATAACACAGGGACAAGGCTAGACAATGAATGTTCCTGCATCAAGTCTGAAGTGTAGGTGTGTCTGAGAATTATAGAATTAACATTTACATGGAATCTTGACCCGCTATTTACCTAGCCAGGGTCAAGTTGACAGGAGAAGTAAACAAGTTGATTACTGTCCACTCACCACAAGTCTGGTTAGTGATGAGATGCCCAAATAAATCTGTGAGCTGAAGTGATTGTCCTGTTATAGTGTGGTTGATTTACGGTATCCTGGGTCATGCCTTGGTAAAATGCATAGAGAGAGAGAGTTTTAAAACAGATAATCGTCAAATTGGTTTTCACAGTCAATTAAAACATTATGTAACATTTAAAGGTATTAAATACTGGATTGCTGACAGGAGTAATTTTGACAGAGGCTTTATCAGGTGATAAATCAGAATTTGAGATTGTCACGGTTCACTTGGCGTTCATTTTGACTTGATCCCCCACGCTTTGCACTCTGTTAGACAACTTTGTGGCTGATGGTATCGTAACCAGTTCACGTTGCCTGCAGGTATTTGGTTTCCTAGCTTCTTGATTAAATTAGAAAAATCAGCAGTTAGCCAAGACCTGCTTTTGCTCCAAGACGAGCATCTGGATTGTTTTTTTGGAGAAACCTTACTCCATTGTTCACAGAGAACCTGAGAACCCTCAGCGCATTGTTATTTTTGTTGAAATTTTTTCCTAAATATTATTGTTAAAATTTTGGAGATAGTAGACCTTTCTGCTCCTTGTAAATTGAGGGAGATATCGATGGCATTTTAGAATCAATAAAGGGTGCTGGTGGAGATTTTCTCCTCACTGACAAGCCTCTTAAGCCCTCTCAATCATTCATAAAGTTCCTACAAGGGTAAACACACAGAATATAATGGCTAAGTCGATGCACGGAAAGGTAGATTTATAGCATCTTTTTATTGTCACAACCATAAAGGTATGAAAGTTCAATATTGTCGTTACACTTAGCATTTAAAATATGTGAAGATCACAGTGCTGTCAGACGAGGAACGTAAAATCGGGCAGAAATTATGGAGAAAAATTGATCCTAAAGTGTGGTCAATGAATGTTCCCAGTTTGTCAGGGGATGTTTGTGTAGAAGCTGTGATATGTTATTTAGGTGCACACACGAGCATGCATTATTTTCACAGATTGATGAAATCACTTCACCATGTTATGGCTTTATGTCTGCCTATAAATGGAGTTTCCAGTTTAACAGCAAATGATCAATATCGCGGCTGCCTTTGCTGATCAGATCTAGACATATAAATATTATCCTACCTCATTTATTGGAGTTTCATGTCTAAATTTTAATGCATTAGATATATTCGACTTTTAGAGGAATGATACAGATCTAGATATTATTTATTGATTGTTCGTTAATATATGTACACATATGAAACATGTTTTTAATGTTGCTTTTCACTGCAGCTGATTCAGTTTTAATTTAGATCCGTTCATTATGCTCTCTCATTAGAGATATCAGACGGTAACCTTTATTTATGAATAAGTTTTCTAAGAAGTGTGTAATGAAAGTGAGAATGCAGCTAGCAGCAAATAGCAATTGGAGGAGGAACAAAAAAGCAAAACCATTTAGTTTTCTTTCAGAGCTATCAAAATTATTTAGAACAATACCAGTTTTATCTAAGGCCTCCTTTGTTTGATAATAGGTTACCTTTGAAGCAAAGGTTATTTCTAATCTAAAGCATATGACAGCTGAATGTTAGCATATGTTTTGGTTCTGGAATGAACATTTTCTCAGGGGAGAGGGAATGAACCACAGATTGGAAAGTACTTATTGCATCCATTTGTGCCAAGGATTAAAAAAAAAGTGGCATTTTTAGTTTGAAGATAGTAGAAGATATGGCATTTTGTAGTTTTGGGCAAAACAGGCTAAATTTCTGCAATAATGGATGGAACATATGTTTTAGCATTTGAAGGAATTTTTTGCAAGCAGATGCATTTTCTTTAATATAAAACAGTCTCCATAAGAGAATTGATGATGAAAGCAAAATGTTACAGAGGAGTCAATTATAAATATAGACAGAGATTCCTTTTGAAATGTACAAAGAAAAGAAGGGGGGTGTCATATTTAGATCTGTAGGGAGATGTTAAAGCTTTCAATATCAGGTAATTTAGATAGCCCCCTATTGTAGCTGATTTGTTGGGGATGTGACAGATTACATGTTGATGTGCCAATAGGAATCGGTGGTGATTGATTCAGTAAGGCCCCCGAGATCTCCCCACAGCCTCTGGGTGATAAACATCCTTCATTAGACGATTCAGATTATAGAAGAGTCTGCAGTGATTGACAAACAAAAAATGGCCTTCTGAAATATTCTGTCTTGCACTGCAAGAAATATCTTATTTTTCTTGTATTAAAACTGTCGGAAATATCTTTTGTATTGCAACTGATGGATGGAAATTGTGCAGTACATCTGCCAATTTCAGAGGCAATTACATTGGATCAGTTTTGTAGATCATGTAGTTATTGGTATATTTTGGGAGATGGGAAAAAAAATTCAATTATACTTGTTCTTTGCCTCATTCAAATTTTATTTGTACATGTTATTTTAGCAAACTTTACTAGTATCCCTTGTGATAGTACTTATTGTAAGAGAGTACTACTAGAGATGAACTGGTATCCAGTGCTAATTATGGCCACTTGATCAGGTCCTTGGAACCACTTGAGATTGGTGAGAGTAAAGTCTTCTGGGGTTTCCTGTTAGCAATGGCTTTTGTATTTATAGGGTCCACTGATTCATGTTAACTGTCATGTGAATATTACCCCCCCAAAAAATCTTTTTATTAGTAATCACAAAAATTCATTAGAATATGAACTCTGGTCAAAATTCATCAAGGTTTACACATAGATCATTAGTATCATGTTGATATCAGTTAAATCAGATTAAAGAAATACATTTTGAAGGTTAACTATGTTTGGCTTCTTCGCCTAGGTAATGACATTCTTTGAAGATTTTCTGATACTTATGTCCGTTCATCTTTTTGGTGTTGAAATTCAAAGGAAAGGTCAACATATGAAGTAAA